TAGATACAGGGCAGGTGTTGATTGAGAGTGCATGCTCTGTTGATCGGGTGGAGGAAGCTTTAAGTACATTGCTACCTATGCTTCCTGAGATACAGTATATCCGTTTCAATCCAGGTAACGTGCTTGTGTTTTGGAGTGTGGGAATGGAAGAATCTTTCTTTGCTTTCTTCTTATTCTATTTGAATCAATTTTCAGTAATTTCTATTCTTTTTCAATTTTAACTCTATTTCTTTTCTGTGTTTGATAGAGAAGTGTCCTTACAGAGTAGCTATTCTTGTAAAGAACTTTAATTTTCAGTAAGTGTTGTGTGTGTTTTTCCTCACAGTTGATGAACGTTGCGATATGGAACTTGATGAGACAGACCCAACTAACTGGCTAAAGTTGGAATCTGCTGTTGAAGAATATATACAAAAGAATCATCAGGCATTTGACGATGCCTGTGAGAGATTGCTTCTTCCTTTGCAGCATGAGGAGAAGTTGTCAGAGAACCTGAGATCTAAATTACCCAAGACAAAGGGGTCAATTGAGGGTATTGTGGATTACATGTTGTCTATACTGTAAAATTTCACATTAATTAATCCGCTTAAATATTAAGATTCCTTTTGTTCTTTTTATCAGGTGGTAGTGGCCCCACTTTAGGGTGGAGACGTAATGTACTACTTGTTGAAGCTTCACATAATCCAGACTCAGGAAGAATGATCCACCATGCCCGGACGCTTGAGTCATTTTGTGCTCGTAATGGCATACGATTATCCCTTATGCAGGGTTTGTCTGGGACTGTAAAAACAGTGCCATCAACAACATTCCCAACTCCATTTACATCACCTCTGTTCCCAGGAAGCTTCCCTTCTAGTCCACTTGTGTATAGTCCTGATATTGGTCAGAGGATTGGACGGATTGATCTAGTCCCACCTTTAAGTTTAGACGGTCAATTGGGAAAAACAGCTGCATCACCTCCTATGTCTCCTCGAGGACTTAGACAGCTCTCTTTTCCTGTCAGATCATTGCATGAGAAATTGCAGAATTCTCCACAAGTGGGTGTTATACATTTGGCTCTTCAAAATGACTCAGATGGCTTAGTTGTGAGGTATTTTTTTTTTTTTTTTTGATATTATGTTTTCTGAATTCCTATTCATTGTCACCAGTCCTTTTTCTCTATACGGATGGAAGCCTGATGTTGCTGGCCTTTTATTTAGTTGGCACAATGATGTATTTGTGGTGGCTGAACCTGGTGAGCTTGCTGAGAAATTTCTACAAAGTGTTAAAGTCAGTTTGTTGTCAACAATGAGGAGCCATCGCAGAAAGGGTGCATCTCTTCTAGCCAATATTTCTACTATTTCTGATTTAGTTGCCTTTAAACCTTATTTCCAAATAGGAGGCATTGTTCACCGTTATCTAGGCCGCCAAACTCTGGTATATCTTCTTCCCCTTGTGCTTCTTTATACCTTTTTGAAGTATATTATTAGAAACTTGAGTTTCGATATCTTTTATGTAGGTTATGGAAGATGATCAAGAAATTGGTTCATATATGTTTCGTAGGACTGTCCCTTCTATGCGCTTATCGCCTGACGATGTACGATGGATGGTATGTGCTTTGCTCCCACTTTGAATTTTCTTCTTGTCCCTCTGGATATACATTTTATGCAGCTTCAGTCTAACTATTAAGGATTTTCTTATTGGCTGCTATCCATTGTCCACTTTCATCATCTGATCTGATGTAAGATACATATTGATGGTTGGATGTTAATCACTTTCCATGAGTCACTTTTATACTCTGCAAAAAGTTGGAAGTTATATGCAACCAGATTAAAGAATCCCCCTAAAATGAAAGAAGTTAATAACAGAGACAAATTAAGCCATATAAAAGTGGACTTAGTGCAATACAAGATGACACTAGCTTTTTATGGTCAATACATTGGTACGGAACTTGGAAATCTAGAGTTTATTTGATTTATTTTTGTTAAAAGAAAAATTAGAATTTTGATTTATTTATTTATTTATTTATTTTGTATTTGGAATACAATTTTACTGTGACACTAGCTATGGCTGATTTTGTAAAGCATCTGGACTGTGTGGGTACTTTAGTATTTAAAGATCATCTACAGCTTTCATTTTGACAATTATGGTTTCTGTTTTTATTAGTCAAATATATTTTTTTGGCATACTTTTCTAGGAAATGAGGATAAACATTTTAGTATTTTTATATCATTTTACGAGGGCAAATTTAGAGCAATGATAAAATTGTTTCTTTGTAGAGGTCACATATTCGAATTCTAGAAATAGTTTCTTTGCAAAAAAAAAATGCAAGTGTAAAGCTGCATAAAGATTTCCCTTCAGCTCTACTCTCGCATCACAAGTTGAGGTTTCATGAGGAGTTTTTTTTTATATCATATCAAGAGAATAATGATCTTTGGTTTGAAGAAGAATGACAGTAATAACTTGTTCTTAATATCAATGTGAACCATGCTTTCCTTTTTGGTAGTTTCAATTTAAGATGCAGGGGAGTTTGTGTTGTATGACATCGCTGTTCTCCATTACCACCACATTTTCCCTGGGGTAGGAGTTATAGGGGAGAGAAGTTGCTAGCCATTTGAAGCTTAGATCCTCTGTCGTAGACAAACAAATGTTCTGACTCATTTCTGTTTTCTCCTTTTATTGGTATCTTGAATAACCTAGGTTGGAGCTTGGAGAGACAGGATCATAATATGCACAGGTACATATGGACCTACACCTGCTCTTATTAAGGCCTTTCTGGACTCCGGTGCCAAAGCAGTTATATGTCCTTCTAGTGAACCCCCAGAGTCTCAGTTGACGACCTTTGATGGTTCTAAAGACTTGAATGTGATGGAAAATGGAAAGTTTGAAATTGGAGAGGATGAAGCAGATGATGAGGCCAGACCTGCTAGTCCAGTAAGTGACTGGGAAGATAGTGACCCTGAGAAAAATGGGGACCGCACTTTTTCTTTTTGGGACGATGACGAAGAGGAACTGTCACAATTTATTTGTCAGTTGTATGATTCATTATTCAGGGAGGGTGCTAGTATCAATGTTGCTTTGCAACATGCTCTTGCCTCATATCGAAGAATGGGGTATGTGTGTCATCTCCCCGGCGTACAATAATTTGTTCACTTAATGTTATACAACAACACAAATGAAATAATATTATTATTAATAAAACAAATGTGAAAACAAAAGATATATATATATATATAGTGAGAGAGAGAGAGAGAGAGAGAGAGAAGAAGATGGGAAGCACAGAGTCTGTCAATGTGAGAACATGTTCTTGTAAAATTACTGTCCATAACCAATTTTGAGGCTTATAAAGATGTGCATTGTCAATTGTTTACGATAGCCCTTCGTTTTGATATGTTTTATTTTTTTTCTTTGTTCCTATGCGACTCGAGTAACATTGGATCAGGACTTAGTATCATAGATTTACATGCCTTGAAACTCACATGGTTGCCAAGAATCCCTTGTACACATTAATTTACTCAAGAACATTCTTTTTATTTTTACGACCACAACTTTCCTTGTATTTTCTTTTAAAATTGTGCATACTTGGAGTTAAGAAGTACTATTACACCAATAAAGTTGGATCCAATGGTAAGTGAGTTAAGCTTTTAGAAAAACGACTAAAATTCAAAACCTAAAAGACAATTTTATATATATATATATATATATCTTACAAACTACACTAAGTATGACAAGTCATACTTCAATCAAGACTGTATGACCGGTCATACTTAGTGTAATTTGTAAAAAAAAATTGTAAATTGATCATTTTTCATATATATATATATATTTGAACTAGATGTTTCTTTTACAGAGATTCTCCTCCTTTTATTTTCACTTGAGCATAGTTTAGACTTTAAGATGTTTTTGTTTGATGCATTGCACCCAAAGTTCATTAGGACCTCGTAAAATTTTTGAATTTTGTTCTGAAACGGAGTAGTAATTTTTAGACTCAATTCCTTTTTCCACCTAAAGTTCTTCCTTCTAATTCTATTGCTGAAATCAAGGAGAAAAGGTAAGAAACCAAGGAACCTTTATCAGATGCTAGAGGTTATGGTGTGCTTCTACGGGCATCATGAGTCCGTGCATAAATGGTGGTTGATTGTGGAATAAAACAATTAATAGTGAAACAGATAGTGAATATAAGCTAGATTATAATGTGTAGGCAATTTTTTTCATACATAATAACTTAATCGAATTACCTGTAATTAATGAAATTTCTTGCTTTGCTTATCTTTACTATTTCAGTCAAAGGGGTGAAAAAATGCGCGCAAAGACTTTTTGCAAAATAATGAATCATTTCACTTTCAAATAAATTTAAGAATTGGCAATAATTTAAAATTAAAAGAATCCTCAAATAGAGAAAATACCAGCAAGACAGCAAGTTAATAGGACCCTCATAACCAAAAAGCACACAACCAAGACAACGAAAGATCAACCTCTTTCCTTCGGCCAAGGCTTGAAAGGTGGAGAGTAACTTTGACTCATCAGAGCAAAAAAACTAAAAAGTGAAGCATTGAGTCGAGTTGAGCACCTGTAGAAATTATACATTTGTCAATATAGCAAATGTGGATGAATTTAAGGGTACATAATACAGAAGGCGCCCATTTTATATGTAATATGATCAATAATTTTACTACTGACTGTTGGTGGGCATAACAAGAAAGCTATTATATAGTCTGAGAAGTCAAAAGGGTTAAGTGTGATTGATGCCCCGGTAAAACAAGCGAGTTTTTATTGCATTCATTGGAAGAATATGATGTTTGTGTTCACTTTTTAAAGTTTCAATTATGGAAGTTCATGCTTTTCATAAAGCATTTTATTATCTACAATTTAGTAAAGACCAAAAGGAGATGCTTCAAATTGAAAATTAAATTTAAGATCATGACCACAACTATCTTCATCTAGAAGCCTCTTTCATGTTTTCAGTTTTTAGCAGCACTATAAGAGACAGTGCCACTGCCATTAAAAACAAATTCCCAGACAGAATGGCTGCTCCTGCTCCAGTTGCTATAGGCACAAGGGGCACAATTGGATCTCTAGTCAGGAAGGAAATTGAATACTTCGCCAAGTTTGAGTTAGAAAAACGAGGGAATTCACAGAAGCCTCAGCCACACTTTGTGGACATGGTTTCTAGCAGAGGCTATTCCACGTCCAGGCCAGGTTTCTGGTTCTTGTTAATGACAGGGAAGAAGAGGAAGCCAAGAGGTACAAATGGGTTTCTCCCAAAAATATGTTCTGTTGCAGAAGTAGCAGAAAACAATCAATTGAAAAGGATTCCTGGTTATAGCTACAGGATCCTCAAGGATGACATCAACAACCTTCAGCTCTAAGCGAATATCTCGAGTTTATTGAATTAGTGTGCGCTTGTTTCTTGAGTGACCAAAACTTTCAGCACACTCATGTTACTTTTCATGTTGTTGTTGCAAAGAGTTTATGCAAAAAAAATTATTTTTACTTTTGGGGTTCATTTTGATTTCAAGTTCTCTCTGCCAGTGCCAGGTCTTCTGTTTCTGATGCAGTTTGGTAGTGCTGCCTTTTATAGCTGTCAGATTAAATATAAATTTAGTGTTTCTATCGCTTGAATAAGCAGATTTGACACAAGGCAACTCAGTGGAAATATGGTGCAGGATCAGAGAGTAAATGAATGCCATGCTCAATGTATATATCATATTCAGATCTGTTACCTCTTTGTATTTCTGAACACAAGGATCAAGCACATGTGTTCGTTTGTATTTTTCAACATATTTGTAATTGTGCCTATAGTTAATATTTTTCGACTTGAGCATCAGGTTTTTATGTGTGAAATAAAATAGTAACGGAAAATGCAGATAAAAGTAAAACAAACAGATGAATTAAAGATTTAATATATGTTCTTCTGGGTCAACCGATCCAGAAAATCAGTAAAAAGAATTCATAATTAGAATGTTATGATATTTGAGGAAAGAACCAACCAGTTGATGAAATTTCTTTCTGTGCTCTCGTTTTTTCCAAAACTCTAGACCATAGCAGAAATTGACTCAAAAGTTGAACTAGCCTTTGATCAATTTTAAAAAAAAAAAACTAATATCCATTCAATCAGACCATACAAAAATGGAAATAAATATAATTGTTGGATCAACATAAGCGATCTAACGGTGAGATTAACTGGGTGTAACATAATTTGGGTGTCACAATATCCTAGCCCGAGATTAAATAACAAATAAACTTTACGAGGTATAATGAGGAAGGAATTGTTGATATTAACAGTTTGATGGGATAAGAAGAGACTAATATATGTTATCCATAATGCAATGATTTGAATGATTTTTGGACTTTGGAAATTTACGTGGGGAAATTCCCGTCTTGCCCCCACAGTTAGACTTTTCTATTCTATTGTTCTATGCGTTGTGTTTTTTTTTTGTTTTGTTTTTTTCACAATGACCTAATCAATAACAAAAGCCATGAATGGAAACAACAACGCCGCCATGGCCAACGTTAAGACAGAAAAAAAAAAAATTCCAATGCTTATCCATTGTCAGTTTGACCACAGTCTATATTTACCACCCTAATGGCTAAACGACTATGCGTTTTTTAATTTGAACAAGTAGCCGTCTTAGTTCAACGCCGAAGAAACGGTGTCACTTTGAATGCCGCCAGGGACATTTGTTTCCACCAGGAAAACGCACGTATCGTTTTCTTCTTCTTCTACCTATTCTTATTCTTCAGTGTCTCTTAAACCCAAAAACTCGCCCAATTGCTCGAAAATAAAAATAAAATGATTCAATAATGGTTCTCTTCAGGTTCCTTAAAACAGCACTCGTCAACAACAACAACACCACCAAAAGCAAAGCTCGAACGTTTCTCACCTCAACAACCATCTTCCCATTCTCCCCATTGTACGCACCTTACCGCTCCCAATCTAATAACGGATTCAGATTCAGATTCCTCTCTCCCTTTCATCGCCGCTCTTGCCCTCTCTTCCTCACTTGGCCCCCATGGAAACTCTCTCAGTCCGCCACCCCTCTCTATCTGCAGGGAAACGTCGTCGTTTTTCCCAAGGTTCACCCATTCAATTTGCTTCGCCGCCCCACAACCCCTCCTTTACCTATCCATTTGTTGGATCGCGTTGACTCTGATTCCAATAATTCTTCCCGTAACGCTCTTTTCCACAGCTTCGTCAATCTTCCCAATTTCATATCGTTTGCAAGATTAATTTCCGGTCCTTTTCTTGGATGGTACCTTCATTTTTGTATATATATTTCTATTTTATTTTTTTTAAAATAATGTTGTGGTTTGGTTTGATGGAGAATTTCGTGCAGTATGATCACGAACGAGTTGTATACTCCTGCAATCATAGGTTTGGCCATCTCTGGTGCGACTGATTGGGTATGAAAACAAATTATATATATATATTTATTGGTTTATTAATTATTCCTGTTGAATTATGTTGTGTCTCACTACACAACACAACAAAACAATGACATGCTTTTATCTTTATCTTCTTCTGATATAAATAATTGATTGATTGTATTGTAGCTGGATGGATACGTGGCTAGGAAGATGAAGATCGATTCTGTAGTGGGTTCCTACCTTGATCCCCTTGCTGACAAGGTAAACCCTCTCCTTCCTTCCTTACTTTCATGCGCAGTGTCATCCATGGCTTGTGTTTTGTTTCATCATCTGTTTTGGATTCGTGATGCAGGTTCTTATTGGTTGTGTTGCTCTTGCAATGGTGCATAATGATCTGCTGCATCGTAAGTAGTTCTACACTTCTGCTGCCTTTATTTTGTGTATATTTGTGGCTTGTGGGTTGTTTAACTTAAAAAACAATAATTGCTTGAGCATTTATAATTTTATGAAGATTAAAAGAAAAATGAGGAACAAAGCCAACATGATAGAGGTAAATCGCATCTTCATTTTACCAAAATAGTATTAGGCCATCGCTACAATATGCATCTCTCTATCTCTCTCTCTCTCTGGAATAGTAGCTTACGTATTATGTGTTGTTTATAATTTATCAATATGCCATGGAAGCCATTTCAGCCTGATATGTTCTGTGCTTAGCTACAACCTACAAGGTCATATATTGTGATTGAGTTGTTTGTATTGTAATAATCAGTTTTCTTTTACCGTCTTACCGTGTTAGCAAGGCTGGAACTTTGTGTTTCCTTCCTTTGTCAGTACTCGGTAGTAGATTTTATTGTAAGATCTTTCAATGTTCTGGGCTGGCAATCAGATGCAGCATTAGGTCGTACTTTCTTTTAATCATATGTTGCTTTGGCTTAATGATTTTAGTGGCTGAAAGGATGTGATCAATTTTTTTATTCAAATATTTGTTGCATCATTTAGTATTTATGTTTCGAGAAAACAGATATTAGTTTGTATTCCATCTATGCTGTGTAAAACTATCCATTTTGGTTTCTCGTTTTGAAGCCGGACTTGTTGGTCTCGTTGTGTTCCGAGATGTCTTCCTCGTTGGCGGTGCAGTATTTTTAAGAGCAAGTAGCTTGGGTTGGAAGGTATGAACAATGTGGTTCTCAAGTTTTTCTATTTTGCTTGAAAATTGTGTAGTCGTCAAGATGAAACCTTGACTGTGTTTGCCTCTCTCAGTGGAAAAGCTGGTTTGATTTTTTAAACGTTGATGGGACCTGCCGTCAAAAGGTTGAACCACTCTTTATTAGCAAGGTAAACTTTATGGGTGTTTTAAGTGCAGACTAACTTACGTGTACCAATTGTATCTCCTTATTGTGTTGCCTTCGTTAATGAATGTTTAGCATTAAGATTGAGATGTGCACATTAACTTGTATCCTTTGTTTATCGTGTTGTCCACACTTCCCTTAAACCAAAAGTCCTATCATGTGAGAAAGCATTTATTTAGTTCTTGAGTTTTCTTAATAAAAAATTATAAAAGATCAAGGCTTTCCATTAACTTGTTGAATAATAGCGACATTGCTGCCAGAACGTTGTACAGTAACCATGAAAGATCTGAAACTGCTTTCACCATCAGCCTCTGCCTTCATATGTGAACATAATATCTTTGATATGTTGGATTAACTGTGTCATGTTTTTTACTACAATATCAAAAACAGATAATTCAAACATAGCACTCTATGGCTAACACTTGTACTGAGCACATATCTATCCCTCAAATTAGCCGCTTCAGTCAGGCTGTCCCTAGCTCGTTCAAGCCCATCTACTTTATACTGACTGACCTATAAAAGACAAAATAAACAACCCAGAAAACTAACCTCCAGTATACAAAATGTATTAAATACATGAATGTTGATTAATTTACTTGGTCTAGCAGACAAGTAAACACTGCTTTTGAACCGAGTGTTGGAGTTTGATTTCAGAGCGTAATTGATTCATTAGGGCAAGCATGCCTATTAAAGTAATTGGAGGAATTAGGAAATTGTTTAGCATCAGCTATAGGACCGCAGGAAGAACCATTGCATCTCTGTTTGGGGTATCCTCAGCTTGTTGTGGTCTCATATTATATTCCCAACCCACAACAACCTCCCCCCTTGTTGAAAATATAAAAAATCACACAGAGAGACACAGACAAACAAAAAAGTTCTTCTGATTAAGAAAAGTAAAAAGAAAAACGAAAACTATATATAGAATCATAGATTAGTGAAATAGAGTATGCGCATAGTGAACCTGTCGATAGATTTCCGTTTATCTATCCTACTTTCTGAGGAGGAATACAAATTTGAACAGGTGAATACAGTGTTCCAATTAGTATTAGTTGCTGCAGCTCTTCTTCAACCAGAGTTTGGAACCCAAGAAACTCAAACATATATTACGTATTTGAGGTAATCAGACTAGAATTTTTTTATTGCCCTTCTAGCAAGTCTTCCCAGATGTTTAACTTGACCCATTTTCTGGTGCAGCTATTTAGTGGCTTCAACAACAATGGCTTCTACTGCAGCATATGGAGCAAAATATTTTAGGAGATCTACAGTATTATCAAACTCGGCCTAGTTGAGTTTCCTTTGAGATGCAGAGGGATGTTAGATGGGCACGAGCAAGCGTGCAAAGTAAAATATGGTTTTATTATACGAATTTTGTTTTAAAAGATTAGCATATGAGTAAAACATCCAAATTAAGAGTGTTTTCAAAGATTGCTTGTAAGAAGTGACTGGCAAATGTTTATCACAAGAAAAACAACCAAGTTAAGAGTTGAAGACATTCACGAGAGATCCAATAGACGTTGTTCCATTTTGCACTCGTCTTGAATTTTCATCAAATGTTGATGGAGTAAATTTTGTTGTTATTTTTTGAATAATCACGTTAGCATTATAATTTGGATTACAAGCAATAATGAGTATATTAATATTTTTACTACTATATAAAGACGAGGATATGCTTGGCAACAAATATTATTACGGGGAATACAGATTAACAAGAGACACTCGTTTGAAACATAAATCATAGGAATTGACGGAAAAGTTAACATGGACGCCTCTGGTGGGATTTGAACCCGACGTGAATCGAACACGCAACCTTCTGATCTGGAGTCAGACGCGCTACCATTGCGCCACGGATCCGTAAGTGCCATGGTTAAAACCAAATAAATACCGTACTTGGATACAAATGCATTGGTCAGTCTTAAATTGGAACAAATGAATTACATGGACTGGATCTGAATGGGCTTTGTATGGAGAGCCGGGGGCTCTGTATAAAAATACAGGAATATCGTGTACTAAAAATAAAAACAAAAATACAGGAATGCATATAAGTATCCGATGATTGTATGGGATAGATTATTCTATCTACTATTTTTTCTGCCTATTTTTGCCTACTATCCTCCAACGCCGTTAGATTAGAATCTCAAGAAAAGATATAAAGATAAATGTTAGTTAAGATTATGATCTAATGGTGTTTTAGAGTGGTAGGCAAATGTAGACAGAAAAAATGGAAGGTAGAATAACTTATCCCATAATTCTACCTACCATTTTTTCTGGAGGATCATGTGTTTATCCGCTTGTCTCCGACTACGTATGTTGGGTGTGCTCTATGAGTGGGGAAGTTGAGTCCTAGGTTCATTGGACCTTACCAAATTATAAAGAGAGTCGGACATGTGGCATACCAGCTTGCCTTACCTCCACATCTGTCAAATCTGCATAGTGTTTTTCACATTAGTCAGCTTCGTAAATACGTACTTGATGCGTCCCACATTGTCTAGCAGGACGATATTGAGGTGAAGAAAGATTGTTTGTTGTGGGACGATTGAGGGTTCTAGCTCGTGATGAGAAAATATTGAGGAACAGGACGATTCACATAATCAAGGTACAATGGGAAGGTTTGACTCCTGAGGACGCTACTTGGGAGCGGGAGAATGAAATTCTCTAGCAGTATCCTGAGTTTGACGTCAGGTACGTGTTATATCTTATGTTTGATTTTGTGGGCAAAATTCTTAAAAGGTGGAGTGAATATAATACCCCTAACCCGTTTAATTAAAAAATGGCATGTGACTAAATATTTAATCATGCATAAATGGGTTAAATTAAGTAAAAGACCTAATTAAATAAATTGGTTACTTTTGATGTAAAAAGTACAGTCAGTGAGATTTTTGGGATAAAAATGGGTGTAGGAAAAACTACCCGGAATGCAAAAGTAAAGTTACAAATATGACCGGAAAAATATTCTAGTTCATTAGGTAAAGTTTAGTATTGAATGAAGGTGTGTAGATAGATAAGTTATTACCAAATTAAAGTAACTTAACCTATTTCTTATTAAAACACACGGTGACTGTTATCAAAAAAAAAAAAAAAAAACACACGGTGACTCTCCTTCCTTCATTCTCTCGTTCACGCACGCTTCTGTCTTCATTTTCTATGGAAAACAAAAGCTATGTTTTCCTTTTCTTTTCTTGATTTCTCATAACACAATCATCCAAATGCAAAATTTCATTAGACGAAATTCATAGTAAATCACCCAATGAATCCATTCTGCCACTTAGTTTGAGCTAAAATTGCTTGTGGAGAGAGTTCTTCCCCATCCCCAATTCATGGCACTATTCACCCAAGTGAAAAAGTGTGGATTTTGAGTGAGAAAAGCTTATATTTTGTTCTTTGGACCTTGGATAAGCGATTGGAGGTAAGAAATCTCTATTCCCATGGTTGGATTTTTGTGATTTAAGTCTTAAAAGTTTGAAGCATGTTTTGGTGGGAAATAATTGAGTTTGAAATTTGAAATTGATGATGAGTTTATGTTGTTTAGGAAGTTATAATGAGAATTAAACATTAACATGTGTTGGAAAATTGAAAAATCCTATTGCACCTCCCTCCCCTAGGTTCGGCCATGATAGGTTAAGTAGGGTTTATTGTGCAAAAAATTTAATTACATGGATTGTGAAGGTGGTATGTTGGTGTAAGTGGAGATTTAAGGGTGAAAATGAAAATACCAAAGTGGGAAAAATGCTATGGTGTTGTACACCTATGTTTCGGCCTATAGGGTGATTTAAGGAAGAATTATGTTACATTTTGTTTTGATAATGTGTTGAGCTTCCAATTCATGTAATTGATAAGATTAAGAAGTGAAATGGCTTGAAAATTGTAGAAAGATATCTTGGTTCCCTTTAGGTATGTCCACGGCCATATGAAGAAAAATGGCATGAATTATGTTTAAAATTTTCAAACGGATACCTAGTTAATTTAGGAGCCAAGTGAGGGTTCTAGAAACTATTAGTTTTGTCAACTGAATTGATGCAAATTCCTAGCCATTCCTAACCTTGGTTTCGGCCATTTAGGGTCTTTGGGGTTATGGAGTGATTAATGTTGTAAAATGGTCTAATAAGAGAATTTATGAAAGTATGGTCTGGACTTGTGTATTGGCATAGGATTGGCAAAAATGAAAAGAAACGAAAGTAAGCGATAAAATGTATGCCTTATGTAAAATCTCGACATGGTATCATTTTATTGATTTTTGTTTTGGATTCTTTCTCTAGGTATGCATAGGGACTGAAAAGGGTTTGGATCCTATTGAAGTTATATAAGTAACCTGTTCTACAAGTAAGCGGATTGGTAAAGCTTCAAGAGGTAAGCTCTATGTTTAAGGAGTCTTTTCCTACTCAAGTGCTCCACCATGGTTAGTGAACTATGGTTGGATTGTATGATTGCTTTTTATGCTTTGTATAGATGCATTCATATAGAGCTATTTGATAACATGATATGATTTGTTCTGATGTAATTTCTGTATTGATCTTTGGCCATTGATTGCATTGTACACTGATGTCCACTTGGGGTCCTCCCTCGGGATTGACGGTGTACGCCTCTGATATGTCTGGTTCCGCTTCGGGTCCTCTCTTTGGAACACGTGCATTGATTTCCGCTTGGGATCCTCCCTTGGGAATGACTGCATACGCCTCTGATAAAATATGTATATGTGCTTTGTTTCTGTTATGATATTTGTTATATGTTGCATTCGTATACTCTGTATCTGACCCTCATGCAGGAATGAGCCCAGGGTATGGATAATTCTCTATAAGCCTGGAGCTTATTGAGATTTGTTAACTCACCCCTTTTTGGGGACATCATTTCAGGTTCTTAGATTCCCGGTGAGCCCTCTCTAGGCAGGGACACGACCCGTGGCTAGAGGTGCTGTGACGGACCAGATTTTGAGTAGTTGTAGGCTACTGCTATTTTGGAGTATATATTTACGTTGTTTCACATTTCAGTATTTTTGCGGATCATGATGTCTAATCCTTTACTTCGTATTAGGCCTGTATATGTTTTGTACATGTCTTTCAGTTTGATGCATGTACACTTGTGTATTCAGGCATGTTGATATGATGATGTAGTATTCAGTTATGTTTACGTGTTGGATTGTATGCTGTTAGATATAGTGGCACAGAGCCAAGTTATGTGTGTGCCCATGGATGAGTATATGATTTTATATAGATGTATGGTACTTATGAAAGTATATGCTGTATAAACTGTCTATTAGGAACTCGTGAGAGTGGGGTTGGAAAATCCCCAGTTGTCCGGTTTACATAGGTTACTCTGTTCGATTTTCGTCTCCGTCAAATAAGAATTAAAATAGAAAAAAAAAATTAGCTTGTATTTTCGTAAGTTAAGTTTTCCGCTGTTTCTGTTTGTATCATATGTATGTTAATTGAACCGGCTCGAGACGGGGATGTTACACCTACCTTTGCCTACTACTTTAAAAAAATAGAAACCAGACCAAATAAGTCTTGAGATGCTTTTATAAAGAAAAGTTGTTGTTTTTATAATAAAAAAAACAAAAGAATTTAGGAGGAGCTTTTTTTTAACTCTTATAAGCTTTTATTGAATTGTGAATTATTTTTTGAAATAAATAGTCACAGAGAAAGAGAAACTTTTATTGAAATATATGCTTTTAAACTAAACTTTTTATGTAATTATCAAATAATTTTTTTTTAGCTTTAACTTAAAAATATCTTGTAACTTAAAAAAAATGATCCAAACAAACTTTAGATAATTTAAGGGAAATAATAATCTATTGTTGCCGAAGATTTTTGGGCCCACTATTTTATTTTTATTTTTAATTGCTAGAGCAATTTTCGAAGTGTCAGGATGTAAGGAGAAACATCACCTACAAAGGATATTATTATTTCCCATAATTTAAACTGCAAAATATTTTAGGTCTGTTAGCCTATGTAGCCCCAAATTATAAGTCTGATCCAATTTACATTTAAGAAATAAAAGTCTTTGCTTAGAGTTATTAACCTATTTAAGCCTATTAAATATTTAATAACTTAAAAATAATAAATTACTTTATTATTTAAAATTATTAAAATAATAATTTAATTATTTTATTTAAAATAAATAATATAATATTAGCCAGCATATAGGCTTATAGGGTCGGCATATAAAAGTAATCTTTTGACCTCTTTTTAAATAGTTTTTTTTATGCCTAATATATTATATTTAACTATATATAATAGGCCGAAAACAATAGACTCCTATTAAGCTGACGTGCCCATTTACACCCCCGTAAATTCAGAAGTGTACCCATGTTGGTGATTGGTGTTGCCATCAGTTAAAACATTTTTTTTCATATTTTAATTAGTAAACCATTTTTAATTTGAAAGGCTAGTAAACATAGTTTGTGATGCACCTAATGCTTCAAATTGAATGTATCTTTCTTTGGAATAACAATGAACATTTTAATTCTTGGTTAATAATTGCATCACACAATGATAATACATCTTCTTCTTCTTTTTTCTTTTATGAACATTACGAATACATTAAAATTTAGGTGTGTCCTGCAATATCAGTAAAATTTGTTTTTATCTCTCGTTCGTTCCCTTTTGAACTTAATTTAAGAATTATGTTACATGCATGCATAGAATCATTAGCGATACTTTTAAATATAGTTAGAAGGAAAAATATTTATCCTTTTAAATGATATAACTTATATTATTTCACTCTCACAAAGAGGTGGAACCCATGCCTTTACTTTTTTTGTCAACTCTCTCTCTCTTTCTTTATCTATTTCTTTCTCTTTCTTAAAATAATATAACTTTACATCTTTTAAAATGACACATATTGTTATAAAAAAAAATAAAAAATGACACATATTTTTTTCATAGTTATATCTGATGTTACTGAGATATATATATATATATATATATATATATATATATATATATATATATATATATATGAGTTTTATAATTCTCATGTTGAAGGAGAATTGAAATCTTATGCTGTAGAGATAAAAAGCATGTGAGACTCATGTGTTAGAAAAAATTATATGTAGGATCCATGTTAGCACGGAAATCGAAGGATGGGTAGTAAAATTTGAATTCTCATGGTGAATGAGAATTATAAAACTCTATATATATATATATGAGGCAGGATCCTTTGACACCGGTGTCAAAGGAAAAGTTTGACACCTTATCTGAGAGCCGTTAGATTAAAAAAAATCAATGGTGTCACATGCTTACAAATCAGAATCGTTGATTTTTTTTTAATCTAACGGCTCTCAGATGAGGTGTCAATTTTTTTTTTTGACACCGGTGTCAAAGGATCCTGTCTATATATATATATATATATATATATATATATATATATATATATATATATATATGAGGTAAATATTTCTACAACCACTTTAGATAAAGTTATCTACAGCTACACCTAAAACTACGTCGTTTTGATTAATGAAGTATGTTTCTATAATTTTAGGTGAATTAATGAAGGGTATTTCTGTAATTTTATTTACTTTTTTATCATATGTATTTTACTGAAACATCCTTCATTAATTCACCTAAAATTACAGAAACACCCTTTATAATCAAAACGACGTAGTTTTGGGGGTAGCTGTAGATAACCTTATCTAAAGTGATTGTAGAAATATTTATATATATATATATATATTTTTTCTAAAGTAACCAGAGATGAAAGAGAAATATTCTCAATAAAAGCGTAGTTCATAAAAGTTCCCTGTTGGGCCCTTCAGATTATTATTATAATTTTTTTAAAAAGGTCTGTCCCGATAACTTGATTGATTAATTTTTTGAACTAAGACTTGATTTGGTCATGCCCTGTTAATCACTAAAGTTGGACAAAGCTAACCTGGTATTTGAACAAAAAATATATGTGTATATATATATAATTCAAATATTGTGTACAATTGAATCACAATATTTTAAAAATTAAAATTATATATTATATGTATTTTAAAACAAATCATATTACTAGAGAAATATTATCATATTATGTAATTTTGTATTAATTTAAATTAAACCAATTTGAAAAGTGACTTTAACTTTATTTAAATCATTCTTCATTGTCTACTTTAGAAATAGGGGAATATATTTTTCATATTGCATGAAATAATTTTGTCTTGTGCATTACACAAAAGAGTCGGTGAGACCCACTAAAAAAAAGGAGGAAAAAAAGTAAATGGACCACGTCAATTTTTTATATGTACATGAGACAATTTTGTCTAATATAATATGAGAAATATACTTTCTTTAAAAACATTATTTTAAGTTTGATAAAATTGTAACTTAAGATACATAAACATAATTATAGAAGTTATTAGGTTATTAAAAGGTAATATATTTTTTATATTGTACAAGATAATTTTGTCTCATACACAAAAAAGAGAGTAAATAGAACCTATTAAGAAAAAAAAAAGAGAGAAAAAATGAATCTCATTTATTTTTTTGTATTTGCGTGACATAATTTTGTCTTATTCTACATGAAATACATATTTTCCATTACTAAATATTTGTATCTGAGAGTAACATACTTGTAATATCTTAAAATTTCTTCCAACCAATAGATAAGTATAATCCTTTTTTCATTTTCATTCGAGGCGTGTTTGATAGGTTTTTTTTTTATACCCAAAAAAGTAAGAGTGAATTTTAAAAATATCATATTTGATATCATTTTTCAAAAAATTTACCCAGCAAAATGATTTAGGTGGTAATCCATTTTATGTGTAAATAAAGGATGAAAGTTACTGCTAAGAATATCACCCAAGAGGGTAATATTGTTGGATTGCTGAAAAAAAAAAGTGGTGTGAAATTTGTAACAATGACCAAAGTGTCACTGTTCCACAACTTATTTTTCTAAATGCCACGCCAACCGTGCAAATTCTCAATATGCCACGCGAGCAAGTTCGTTACAATGTCCAGCGAACTTGGTAGCCAATGATTTCGTTACACGTGGCATATTTTGACAAGAAAAGATGACTGCCACGTGTCCAAGTTCGCTACCAGTCGTAACGAACTTGGTAGCCAATGATTTCGTGACTCGTGGCACACTTTTGCAGGAAAAGCTGACTGGACGAAGTTTGCTACTAGGGGTAGCGAACTTGGTGTGCTAGGTGGCACAATCTCATTGCCCGATCAAAATTAATATTTCAATCACAATAAAAAAACTGAAAAAAAAGGGAAATGACAATTAATCGTAATTGTTATACGGTATAGCAATACGATCTTTCTAGGACCAAACAGTGTCAGCATTTATTGCAACATAGTTCGCTATTGGGAGTAGCGAACTTGTTGTCCACCAGAAACGTGTCACGTCAGCAAACCAAGTTCGCTGGGCACTGTAGCTAACTTGCTCGCGTGACATATTGGAAAATAACACTGTTCGCGTGACATTTAGGTAAAAAAGTGTGAACAGTAACATTTTGGTCACTGTTCCGTGAAATTTTTGATAAAATAACCCTATTCTTAAATAAAGTGATTTAGCCCTTTTTGACAAAAAGAAAATACTAAAATGAGAGTATATCTGTTAGTGTCAAGATCATTTTACACCAGTGTAAGTTACACTCTCAGTCTTGTTCATTGATCTCACTTATATCTAAAGGCTATAATTTTTTAGTAATGTGAGCCATTGGATACAAGTGGATCAATGATCAAGATTTAGTGTAAGACTTCTAACTCTTACACTGGTGTAAGAATATCCTGTCCCTGTTTGTTATATCACACCAAATTTCTAATATTATTTTATAATCAACTAAATATAGATTTGATAAATTTCATCTAATATTTCTGGTAAAATTTTGATCTATCAAATAATTTTTTGATCACATTCTTAAAAATTATATTTTTCGATGACATTTCTAATAATCATAGTTGGCAGATAAAAATTTTTTATCCTCTATGTAAAAAATGAGATATCCGGTCAAACATTTTCTCAGCAAGTACATCTAGCTCCGGCAGCATATCATCTGAAAATGTCATAAAACTGTAATAGTGATACTTACCTGTTATCAAAATAAAAATAAAAATAGTGATACTTACCAGTGTTATTAAACCCGGCCCGGGCATCGACCCGGTCGGGGTACTGGGTTATTGGGTCACTGGTCGGACCGGTTGACCCGTATCTATATAGATATATAAAAATGAACATATAAATTCAATTATATTCTCCATATCTAAAATAAATTAAACAAGGTTCATTAAATAAGCTGAAAAACATGAAGCATAAATAAAAAAATGTATACTATTTCTATGTCAATTTAAATTACAACTCAGAATCCTTATAAACATACCTCTCAATGACATTGAACTTATATTTTTCAAATTCAATTACATTAAAAACGACTATGTCATAATCTCTTAATTTATTATTTCGCAAATTGCTTCAGTATTGGAAGCTGAAATTGGAGGTCATTGTTATATTAGCAGATAAAATTACAAAAATAATTTAAAATGAGTTCTACATTTTCTCTGTCAAGATGAAATAATTTTGGTTATTTGTTTTTTTTATTTAAAACCCGACCTGTCCGGGTCACTGGGTCACCGGTTTTGACCGAGTTTGGCCGATTTTGTCTGGATTTTGACCGAGTTTAACCGAGTCTATGCATGAGCGGTCCAATGCTTGACCCGAACCGGTCTGATGATCGGGTCCCGGGTCGGGTCGGGTTTTACAACAATGATACTTACTACCATAATTTTTTTTTTTAAATATTCTCAAATCTGAAAAGACAAATTTCGATCCTTTCAAAAAAAAAAAGGAAAAAAAAAATTGATGGAACTTTGGGCGGCTGGGCAATTAAAATTGTTTTGGCGCCGGATTGCAATTTGGCTCACCCGCACGAAAAATGACAGATGACTGATGAGTATCACGTTCACGTCACGTGCAAATATATTATCCTCTCATAATTATTATTATTTTTTTAAAAAAAGAAATAAAAATGAAAAGCAACAGAAAAAAAATATACTAACCGGCAAGCAGGCGATAAAGCGCAGTGATGCAACAACCACGTTTGCAAGGTGCGACTCTCAACTCAACTCGAAGAAGCTTAGTTGAGAGAGAGAGAGAGAGAGAGAGAAGAGCGCGCGAAAGTTGGTACCTTAGAATTAGATCTCTAATCTCTATTCTTATTGTAAGAAAGGCCCACACACACATACTCTCTCTCTATATATCTGTGTTTGTGGACTGTCTGGTAGACTGTAACCATTCCTTTCACTTAAATGAGGAAAGTGTTGCTGAGCTTCACGACCATGGAGATTCCACCTCTCTCCCCCAATTTATGGTGGTGGGATCAAATCAACAACTCCACTACCTTCCAGAACGCTATTTTCTACTTCCTTTGCGCTGCTTATGCTCTTGTCTCCTCCATCGCTCTGGTATTTTTATGCTTTTCTCACTCTCATTCACCACTTCTCCATTCTGTGATTACTAGTTTATTTTATGTGTATTATTTAGTTTCTCGATTCTTCCAATCATACGTGTCTCCAGCTTTTGCTCATGTTTCTGATTCACCACCACTGGACTTCAATTCTAGCTTTCGCTATCTACACACTGTAGGATCGCATCGACGTTCTGATTGCACTTGCCTGACCATAAATTGTCCTTCCTTTCCAAGTTTTTTCAACTTATTCTGAGGAATTTCGGTTTGATGTTTTGTCCTTCCAGTTTATCCTCTTTCCAAACCTATGTTGCTTCTTGAAATAATAGGTTTTTTTCTTCTTCTTCTTTTTCAGCTTAATAATCTATAATGGTAGGGTAGGTACTGAACGGATTTCAGATGACTAGAGTTGTTTTTTATTGTTATTGTTTTAGTTTGCACTGTTGTTAATTCCTGATGTTGTAACGCTGCAGATTCAGTTGGTAAGAATTGAAGTAAGAGTACCTGAGTATGGTTGGACAACGCAGAAAATTTTTCATCTCATGAACTTCATTGTCAACGGAGGTGAGGTGACACTCCACATTCTTGCTTCTTTCAGGATCTTTGTTCTTAGGTCTTGTGCTTGTTTCGGAATTTCACTCTCTCTTTTTTTGGGAATTTTAATATTTCAGTACGTGCAGTGGTGTTTGGATTACACAACCTGGTTTTTCTTTTGCATCCCAAGGTTAGTTTTCTACCGGTGATATTTGACTAGGATGGTAAAGACCGGATACTGACATAGAGTGGCTTCTTGTTCAATTAGGCATTTATTTTGGTGCTATTGGATCTGCCAGGACTACTGTTTTTCTCAACATATACACTTCTAGTCCTTTTTTGGGCAGAAATTTATCATCAGGCAAGTGGAAGTTCTCTTTTTCCCGTTCAATTTATTTATTTTAACTTTTATGAATGAGTACCTCATTTTATTGAATAAAACAAGGGTTTAATTCTGACGTTGTAGGAGATAATTTTATCTTCCACACATATAATAAAAGTGTGTGGGACTCATATTTTATTTTTCTTTCTCTTCTTCTCACATGGTGCCACACCCTTTTATGTGTACATAGAAGATAAAATTATCTCCTACAATAAGAAACAATAAACCCATAAAATAAAACAAACTTTCAAAAAAATAATTATCCAATTTGGCACGATCAAGGGAATTATTATTATTATTATTTTAAATTAGGAAATTCTTATTTTATTCCAATGACAGAACAGGCAAGGAGTTTACCAACTGATAAGCTCAGGATAGTTTATATTTCAATAAATGCTGCCTTGTATATTATCCAGGTATCTATCTCATTTTCTTCTAACACATAACATTATATTTAAGCTGGTCAGGGTCTGCACTATTTTGGTATGTCGTATTTCCTGAGTGCTCATCGTCATCGCAATACATTCCACCAATGCATAATGACATCTCTGCAACTACAATATTGTTGCACTTTCACCCTAAATGTTCTCTCTCTGAACTTTGAAGCATTTTATTTATTTTTTCCTTTATATTCTATGTTTTTTCATGAACAAGTGCTCTTTATTTTGGTTTCTTTATATCGCATGAATTTGACCAGACGCCCTAATGCTGCAGCTCCTCATTTTACTACCTATTATATTATCAATATCTGGGCACCCTCTTCCAAGCACTTTTGCTGGATCGGAACAGTAGTGGGGGCTAGTATGTTAAAAAAAAATTTAGACAGTTTTAAGTCAAGGTCTTCTGGTCTCTAGAAACAGCACTAGGAGACTTGTACGTGTTGATTGTGTACTGAATATCCAGCCATGAGTTATTTGATTTGGAAATTATTGGCTTTTAAAACAGGCAATTTAATTTCACTTTTGCATAGTAATTCTCCTTTACTTATATCTAGTTCCTTCAAGATGCATGTCAAGTAAGGCATAAATCTCCTTTTCTAAAGCAAAAAGTTACACTTTCTTAGTTTCTTTTATAGCTGATGTCATTAGTAAAGTGTAGTTTTGGATTTAGGTTTGTATTTGGATATACCTCTGGATAGATGACAACAGTTCTGTCGAGCTCATTGGAAAGATATTTATTGCAGGTTAGCTTTTTAATCAAATATTGTGAGCTTAAGAATGAGTTTTTCCACCTTAAAATAATATATTGCTATATGCATAGACAATTCTTTTTATAAAAAAATTTCTTTTCTTTTCTTCAGTTGTGTCATTTATGGCTGCACTAGGCTTCTTGCTATATGGAGGAAGGTGAGGCTTTTGCATTTTGTCTGCCTTGCTATGGTCTATAAAATATCTCTACAGCCTCTGTTTCAATTTCTCACTGGAAAATCCGTGGTTGTTATGGGCGACCTTTTGGATTTCTGCCTTTAACACATTAAATGTTCCTAGATTGTTTTTCATGCTGAGGCATTTCCCAATTGAATCTAAAGGGAGAAGGAAGAAACTTCACGAGGTTTGCGCCTTTTCTTCTCAGTGTGTCTATTGAATAGTATGTCTTTGTGCAACTCATGTTCTGCCACTACTCTACTGAAAATCTCATTTAATCTGCCGTGATATTTTAGTACATTGCAAATTTGGTCTATGTGCAGGTATCTTCATAGCAAATGATTGTCACTTTTTTTTGTCTCTTTTCTATTCTTTTATTAAGTGGATCTTCCAATCATACACACAAGAGACTGATTCTTTGGCAAGGGGCATGGCAGAGTGTAGTTTTTGCCTTGTTATCTATTACTTTAATAGTAGAAAAGGATTCGGTTTCTTGCATTTGCATCTACTAAAGTCCTAAATGTCTACCAGCTAAATCAGTAATGAAAAACAACTATTTAAATGTTCTATAAGTGTTTGGATGTACAGACCTACAGGGTGTTGGCTTTGAATGAGGACTGAGGAGATCATTATCTAAATTTTCCTTTCTCATGATGAGTTTCTCTGTTGCCTTTGTCCACTGTCATATTTAAAGGATAAATCATGTAAACTCTTGTACCTCCTTTGTTGGTTCTCTATCTCAGGTCTAGCTTTTCCTCTGTAAATTCAAATTGTGCTCCTCTGCAAAATCTTCAAACGAATGATGGGAAGGAATGAGTCCTATATTTGCATTTTCCTGCAATTATTTGTCCTCCAAATGTTATTGGTTTTAACTTGCTCATTTTCCCTTTCTTAAACTACAACAAATCAAGACTTTCCCTTTTTAGGCATTAGAAATTTTTATTTATGTATTAAATTCTATAGTTTGAGGATGAGCCTTGGAGCAGCGGTATAGTTGCTTCTTGTGACTGGAAGGTTTTGGGTTCGAGTTCGAAAAACAACCTCTTCGCAAAAATACAAGGGTAAGGTTGTGTACAGTCGACCCTCACCCCTACCCTCGCAAGTTGGGAAGCCTTGTGCATTAGGGCCCTTTATTAAATTCTATAGTTTGTGGTGTATAATGTTAACCATTTTAACAATAAGGTTTAAGTTCTGTATGTACCCCTGAATTAAATCTCATTATTTTGTGAACTGAGAAGAACCCTTTCTTGATTTTCATCTTCTGTTATGTTCCAAACATATAATGAGATTCAAAAGGTATTATTCATAACAATGTTAGTTGTATTCACATTACATGGGATGTGTATTGCAGGTCGGATCTGTCACAGCCATCTGTTTCACCTGTTTTCTGATAAGATGCATTATGGTAACTTCTTCCTTTTTATTCTACTTATCTTATGTTTAATTAAACATTTTCTTAAGCTTGTCTATGTAAAAATGTCACACGTGTAGAATTATAACACTGGTCTGCTTGTCTTCTGCTCATCATCCTGTGTTATTCTGTTACACCATTAATATGGTAGTCTAAATGCCATTAAATTTGTTCACAAGAATCTAAACGTGACACTAGATTAGTTCGATGTGAGATTCCAATAATATGGGTTTCAAGTGCAACACTGTTAGATGTGCTTCTAAGCAGTTTTAGTTTGAAAAGTGTTAAGAACTTTGAGGTCACCACCCCAAAAGCTAGCTCAAAGGGTGGGAGTGCCTAAGGTCTTATAAACTCCTACCTTAGTTGCTATTCAACCAATGTGGGACTATATATCTCAACACGCCCCTTCACGCAAGAGCCCTCTTGGCTTGAAGCGTGGATTATGCAACAGGCTCAGTCTACCTGTGCTAAGAAACGCCACAAGAGAAAGTGGGGGGCGGCGAGGCTCTGATATCATGTAAAGAACCTTGAGGTCACCACCCCAAAAGCTAGCTCAAAGGATGAGAGTGCCTAAGGTCTTATAAACTCCCACATTAGTTGCTCTTCAACCAATGTGGGACTATATATCTCAACAAAAAGTTAGAGGGAGATGATGGAAATAAAAAAAGGTCAAAATAGAACACTTGTTGGTTAGCATGATAAGAGTGATCAGATGCAAAGTATGTCCTATTTGGAGACGAATTTTAGGGAAAAAGGAAGGCAGAGGCTTTAAGTTTTTGTCATGGGAACTGAAGCTAGAGTTAAAGTTAAATAATGATTTGTATGGTATTATTCCTCATGCAAAACACCTTCTTTCTTAATCACACTTTTGATATACATGCAGGGTTTTCTGTCTGCATTTGATTCAGATGCATCTCTTGATGTTTTGGATCATCCTATTTTGGACTTGATCTACTACATGGTATGCTGCTTGAGTATTCGTTTTTATTGCTCGTTACTAGAATTTTGATTTCTCACTTTGTTGGCATCTGGAATTTACTTTTTTCGCTTTTCAAAATACAGCTGGTTGAGGTTCTGCCTTCAGCTTTAGTCCTCTACATCCTGCGCAAATTGCCCCCAAAGAGGATATCAGCCCAATATCACCCTATCCGTTAACTGCAGTGCATCTTGGGTCTTAATTTATTAATTTGCCCAGTCATTATAATTTTAATGGCGAAGCATATAAAGAAAAAGGATCCAGATATAGTCTCATAGCAGCAGCTCGTACACCTGTGATACTCAGCAGTTGCTTCCTGATAAGGATAATTTAGATTCACGTTTTGTAGGGTATACAAACCATGGCAAGTCACAAGAGCTTGAGTGCCTTTCTGCGGTTATTTGTCCATTGGCCCCCGCCCCAGGGATGGGAGGGTTGAGTTTATCATGTAGTCTGGATGTTGTAGGGTTACAGCACAAGCTTGAAATGATGCATCCATTCTTTGACATTATATATCAAAAGTGATTTTGACATTATAAATTTTGTTCGAATAGTATGGTTGTAAATCATTTTTAGGAGTGTAATTTCTTAAAGAGTATGATTTTCATGTTGATTTGTTCATAGGATCCTTTCATTTGATTTACTTATTTATTTATTTTTAGTGATACTATTAAATTAAAAATATTTATCTTTTTTTTTGGGTAACAAAAAGAAGCCTTCAGGTAGTGTTTGGTTGAAGTTTTTGGTGGAGATGCCCACTCTTTGAGTTTGAGAATTGATGTTGTCTTTGTTTGGTTGAGGATTTTTAAAAATTTGTCTACCAATGTTATTTCTTTTAACCCAATTTTTCTGGTAAAACTTTTTTCAATCAAATAATTTTTTTTACATTTTCTTACTAAACTTATTTTTCAACCATTTTCATATCAATCATATTTTTTTTAGTATTCAAAATTTTTTTCCTCAACCAAACACTCTCGTTGTACGTAAGTTTGGGGAAAGCTGATTCTATAAGCACTGGAACTTTTGGAATAATTAGGAATTACATAGAATTTAGTTGAAAATTCTGCTCCAAGTATTACTAACAAGATAAAAATATATTTTACAAAAAAGAAGAAGATAAAATAGAAAACTTTTCATTACTAAATATAGAAAACTTATAACTGTTGGAAGGGAGAGGATAGATTACAAAGAATAACTCACGGATTAACTGTTGGTGCTAACTTCAATACTTCGAAAAAAATCACCTGCAAACGAAAATTTAACAAACATGTCATGTTAGCATTAAAAATTCGTTAAAAAAAGGATAAATCAATCTGCTAGAGGAAAAATCTTTCTCTCTGTAATAACGGGTCGATAAATTGTTAAAATATAAACTAATTGTATTCGTTGTTATTTTATATTCTTATTTAATTAAAATATGTTACAAATTTACATCTGCAGTGAAAAACAAAAAAGCAAATACTCTGGGGTTTGGGCTGATTGTGATTCTCAAATCAAGTGTCTACGTTGTAAGTACCACCATCATTTACCCGCCCTATGCCACACCTTTCAAATTCAAAAATAAAAAACAGTGGAGAGAGAGAGAGAGAGAGAGAGCTTTTCCATTGAACGTTAGGAATTTTGAATTAACTGACCAATGAATCAAAATTAATACAAAAACTCTTTGTTTCTCTTCCACTTTCCAGTTTCCGACAATACGTCAACAATGGACACTGAGGAACCTCCTTCACCGTATCTCCATTCTTCTTCTTCTTCTTCTTCTTCGCTACTCAAAGACATCTCCAATTTCAGAACCCCTAAACGCCCTTCTCTTTCTCTATCTCTCAACACCCAATCTCCCTCCACTCAATACTTCACCGCCTCTAAATCCAAACAATCCACCACCGCATTCCGCCGCCGCACCAACAAGTCAGGTGCCGCCGCCGCTCGCAAACTCAAGGCTTTCCAACTAGAGCAGTCCCAGTCTTCCAGAAAGGCCCAAATCAAGAAGGAGCAGTCCCTCAAATCCCTAGCCAAGTCCATCACTGTTTGGCTTAATTTCTTGCTCGAAAACCCTGCCTCCTGCGGTTGCGACTTGTCCATCGCCGGAGTCCACATCGGCGATGCCACTCCGGCCACCAAGGGCAAGAGAGACAGCCGCCCCGGAATTTCCGTTGGGGTTGATTCCACCTGGCGAACTCCGAAGCGGCAGAGGAAGACGTGGTCACGTGCTGAGGGTGATGAAAATGCTGCTTCTGCGGCGGAGTTGCCAAATTCCTTGTTCTCGTACTTGAAGGATTCTCTGAAGGATGTCTGCAGTTTCGAGGATTTGAAGCAGCGAATGAGGGTTTATCTGAGCCTCGGAACTTGTAAAGATATCTTCCAAGTGATGAATCAAGTCTCGAAGGTTTGTTTCATTTGTTTTCCATTCCAAAGACTTGGCTTGAAATTTGAAATTTCTGTCTGTTAGAGTATAATATTGTTAGCGTATAATGTAAACTATTAAAAGGCTTAAGCTTTTGGTTGAATTGATTTTTTATATGTACAAGAGTCCGGTGTCACGGGTTCGTTTAATTAATAATTAATTATGTCTCGTGGAGTTTTTTAGGATAGATCGGTGGATCTATACATTGTTTATCTTTCAAGCCCGGTAGGCTCCCGTGCGAGAGTGTGTTAGAGTATAATATAAAATATAAATCATTAAAATAACCTTCATTTAATGGTTCTTTAAATGAAGAAAGGCTAATTTTGGATTGAATTGATTCTTTACAATGTCCAAAGTTATTGTGCCCAGGGCACATACGGTATTGAATTTTGTGTGCCTTTCCTTTGTTTTGTTTTTCAGGCAATTGACGAAGGAAGGCTAAATTTGAGGGCACACTGCCCGATAGTAACAGATGTTGGGTTGAAGGATAAGGCCACAAGAATACTCATGTGTTATAATCCAATTTGGCTGCGAATCGGATTGTATATTATTTTTGGTGGGGACTCCTTGGTATTGAATGGAGATGCTGATCCTGGCCATGATGTCATATTTTTGAAAATGGTCATTGACAAGCTGTTTTTTTCACATGAGGGTCTAGCAAAAGCATATGCATATAACAAGATGGTTGAAGGTGTATATAGGTCGGGTTACTATGAGAATCTGGGGAATGTGATTTTGAAGAGAATTTTGTTACTTGTGCTTATCCTAGATAAAGCTAAATGTCAAAGTTGCCTCCCACTTGAGTACGGTATTGATGGATTAGATGGGGGTTCCCCTTTATTATTCAAAGCAGAATCATGGATTAAATCAAGTAGTCAAGTGATCCATGGTAAGTCTTTGTTTATTCTTCCGTCCTATTTTCTGTTGATAATTTTTGTAACAGCAGCTTCTACATTGTAGGTTGACTTTTCTCTCTTTTTGGTTGGAAATTAGAATTTCTGTCATCCGATGTAATGCATGGAGAAGGCAATCTTCTAGCACATTTGATGATTTTAGGTTACAAAATATCTCATCAACAGGTTGGTTATTCTTACCATATGCTATGCCATGCTGATTTACTTGTGTGAGGTTGCCTGTTAGTGTGAGTACATGCAAGCTGCTTTTGGGGGCCATGGTGCATTTTATGACAACAGAAGTCGTTTCACTGTTTGTGTCCTAGTAAATTTGTGAAAAATGGCACTGTATCTAGGTCAAGATTTGTCTTATGATGAAGTTTTGCAAACTGTTTTGTATTTTGTAGGGGCCTCTTGTTGAGTATGATTTTAGGGTCAGAGACTTATTTGTAGATCTCCAAGATGGACTAAAACTCTGTAGAGCTATTCAGCTCTTGCAACATAATTCTTCTATCCTCATGGTTGGTTATATATATATATATATTTTATAATATTAGAAATGATATCAGCATATTTGACACTTTCAACGCTATTATATTTCTGTATAATCCAGTTAGTTAAGAATTGTGATGCATCATCGTTGTATGGACAGAAAATTGTAGTTCCCTCAGATACTCCTAAGAAAAATTTGGCGAACTGTGGCCTTGCCCTACAATATCTTAGGCAAGCGGGTGTGTCACTACATGATGAGGATGACACGATGATTATGGCAGATGATATTGTTAATGGAGACAAAGAACTTACACTTTCCTTGCTCTGGAATATGTTTGTTCATTTGCAGGTAGCAGCTCTATTTTACCTTATTTTTTTAAGTTTCTTTAATATTATTGCCTTTGGATTTGATTGCTATTAACTTATAACCCGGACAGCATTGTAATTTCCTTTGTTATTGGACCTGCAGCTACCTCTTTTGGTTGATAAAACAATTTTAGCTGGGGAAATTTCTATAATTCGAGGACTTGGCGCAGTATGTTCCATGTTAGATGAGTTTTGTGTTTCGATTTAGTTATAAAGGAATATATGTACTTCTTGTTCGCCTTCATTTTCTTTAAGTTCATATCTTATACTGTACTTGAGATTTGATTTTTCTTCCATCTCACAGGATCTGATAAACAGTACAAATTCTAGTTCTCTGGAATTGCTTTTGAATTGGATTCAGGTACGAACCTACTCCTAGGATAATTTCATCTATGCTGAAGATTGAAACCTTGAAACCGACAACAATGAGAATCCTTCATGCTATCTAATTCATTTTTCAGATTGTATGCTGTGTTAAACTGCCTAGTACCCGTGCACAATTCACACACTATTGCTAACATCTTACAGTGATATGAGAACTAGTAAGGGCTGATTCCAGAAAAGGATAGTAATTTTCCTAGATGTTTTACTTCTTGTTTTTCAGGAGGCTCATCAGTAATAATCTTATATATTAATATAGTAGTTGTTATACAAAGTGCTAGCCTGATCTGTATCATGAGATGCATTCCACAAGATCATTGAACATAATGTTTTTTCCTAAGCAAAATGGAATTTTGTTTTGCTTAGCGGTGTATAGTTCCATAGCTAGATTTTCTTTGATACTTGTTGGTCTGCTACACTTTGTTAAAGCTTGAGCTTCAGATGGTGCATTTGTAATTTGTCGGATTTTGGTAGATACAAAAATATTTCCTTATTCGTCTCGTACTTGTAAATAGCCCCGCTTTAGCGCGCTATAGCGGAGTTGCGTTGCGGTGCAGCGGCCGGCCGCCACAGACCGCGCCGCTATGGTCAGGTGAAGTGTAGCAGATGTAGCGGCCGCTAGTGCGGCTGAATCGCGGCGCTATTACGCCGCTACAGTAGTTTCTGCATAAGTGTTCTCGTCGTAAAAGGAAAAGATTTACAACTTAGATACAAGTTAAAGTGAAGATGAAGATTTGGATGTTCATGATTTCAATTATGATTAGTTCCTTAAGTTCTTTGATTTTGACATTTCACTTAAGTGGCAGTTTGAACTTTGACTAATTTTGCCACTTTATTTTGTTGTGTTACATTATTTGAGACATTAATTTCTTCAATTTTCTTATGATTTGAATTTTAATATTTGAAATCAATTATTTTTGAGTTTGAGATCCTTCAAATTTGTTTTTTATGTCACATTTTCACATTTTAAGTTTTATATTTGTGGAGTACAATTTAGTGTATCACTTAGGTACACTTTGCACAGTAGCGTTGTAGCGCTACCTGCTATAGCGCTATAGCAATATGGAGGGTCAGCCGCTACATGCTGCTATCCGAGATTAATAAGTATGATTCATCTGCATTTTAATCTTGGCATTCCGTTTTTGCAGGCTGTTTGTAACAATTATGATTGTGCAATTGACAATTTTCATTCCCTTGTTGATGGCAAAGCTATCTGGTGCTTACTTGATTATTACTTTCAGAAGGAACTTCATAATTCCTGTTCATTGAAGGTCTTGAACTTCTTTAGATTCCTGCTGAATGCTGATAGTACATTCTTGTTTATAAGCTTTATTTTTTATTTTGTACAGGAAGTTAATAAGAAAAGTGGTAAGGGATCAATTATGTCGGTCAGTGAATATTCAGATGCACTGTACAATTTTATTTTGTCCCAGAAGTTAACTACGTTACTGGGGAATTTTCCAGAGGTAAATACCCTAATTTATGTAGTTGTCTATTTGCATGCATGCTGGAATTATTGTCCAGAGGTTAATACTTGCATGAGAGCTGCATTTGTTCATGTTTGAATTCGTTTCAAGGTTGAAATACGAAGTGTGGTGAACCAAGGGACATTTTTTTTTTTACCTGTGCGTTATCTCATTTGATATCGTTGGTTCTATAATGGAATTTTATTCTACAGGTACTTCAAATAAGTGAGCTACTTCAATATAATGGTGCTTGCAGTGATCGAAGTGTGGTGATATTGTTGGTTTTCTTAGCAAGCCAACTATTTGTCAAGAAAAATATGGTAAACAAAACAAAGATTATGATCCAAAGTTATCAAATGCTTGCAGCATGTCACGACCAACCCCGGAAAATGCTATAGCGCTATAGTGGGTTGTAGTTGTGGAAATAGCGGAATAGATATATGACAAAAATAGTGATAAAAAGAAACATTTTTTAAAGGTAGAGATAGCAAAAGTGACAGAGAAAGACAGAGATAGACTAAAAAACCCTTAAAAATTTTCTGTTACACATTTAAATTTAGGACAAAATTGACAGTTTGCCTTATGACAACAATATTGCCGCGATTTGGCCACAAATGTAATAGCAATGGCAGCTATTGCGTTCCGGTGCGGTTTCTTGCTGCGAGGCACCGCAACGCCCTTACGGCACGGCTCACGGCGCTATTGTGTCGCAAATTAACTACTATGTTATGATCATATCTTGTTATTGTCGTATTCCAGAGTTTGTGTTATTTAGTATATACCTTTCTTTTCTTCCATTCCAGGATCAATTAAATTTCCATAAGCTCTTGGGCTATGACTGTCAAAGTCCGCACCGTAGACATTTGAGGATGGTAGAAAGTTTTGAATCAGTACAACAGCCTGATGCTTCAGATGTGCATGTCAATGAAGGTTCCTAGTTAATTCCCTAGTGGTGTGAACTTTAGTTATTTATGCACGTCATTTGTTTGTCTTCTATGTATACATTGATGAATTTGATGTTGATACATGCAATAACTTTTGCATTTATAAGGATGATATCTTATTTTATATGTATATTTTTTAGTACATATCTTATTTTATATTTTTCCATTAATATAAAACTACTTATGAAGGCTTTATTGTGATGATAGTTGTATCAGTTTGATTCGTATGACAAGTATAACGAATAAAAGTGAAAAGTTCATTTTGTTTTTAAACAGTAGTAGATTGGCTAACTTTAAATATGCTTTATCTTTAAAATATGTGTCCTTGTATTATAGGTTTTGTACTTGAATAAATGTTAGCCCATTTGCAGTTCCTTGCATTGCGTGATAATTGGTTCTGAGTAGACAACAGTGTACTATCTTTCATTTCACATGTTCTGTGGCAATATTTTCAAAGTAATATTAGAGTCCGAAAACAGACATCTTGGATTAATGATAAGAATGGTATGATCTTTTTCAAGAAATAATTTTTTATTTCTTTCTTCATTTCATATAAGTCTTGATCATAATCTTGTGATTTATTAAGACAGATGCCGCAAGAAAATTCAAGGCCATCCAGGCTTGGTGGCAAGATATGGCTGAACGAAACCGTATCATGAAACCAATTGGCTCTAATTTGCAGAGATCCAGGACCACTGAGCGCAGCACCGATATTATAAGTGGTAACTAATACGACTTGAACTGTCCTTTTTGCTACTATGTCTCCATACATTACATTTACCACAGCTGTGAAAAAAATACTATGTCTGCTGCATTGTTACTTTCTAGATAATTATTCTTGAAATTACTCGTAAGTGAAAATAAGATGCAGTCCTTAGTTCATTCCTGATCAATTCCTAATTCGTGTTTATTTACAGTAGAAATAAGTGAGTATTTGCAATGATAATGATTAATGAACGTATTTGTAATAGTATTGAAGCAGGCCTTCCACTTCTTTCACTCTAGTGTTTGACATGGAAAACATAGGGCCTGTTTGAAATCTATTTCAAAAAATAGTTTTTTTTTTTTATTTTCAAAATAAAAAAACAAAAAAACTTGTTTGATAGGATCTGTTTTGTATAAAAAATTTAAAAATTGTAACTTTTTTTGTTTGTTTCTAGAATCAAATTTAAAGAACATATGAGTTATTTTTGTTTTGTGTTTTGACTTTAAAATTTCAAAATAAAAAAAACATAGAAAACACCTATTTCGTTAACTATTTTGCAAAACAGTTTTAAGAATAAAAAAACCAAAATACAATCAACCAAACCCATATAGTCTTTGTAGTTCTTCTTTTTCTTTCTCCAAGGCACTGCTTAGTAAAGGCGTGTGGTATGATTGTTTTTCACTCCGTATTACAGCTTATTAATCCATTGTAATTCCATGCAACACTTGTGTTGTTGATGTTCTTTGTTTTATTGCTGACAACTGTTACTCATTTTTTACAGAAAATGCTGCAACAACAATACAATCACATATCAGAGGATTGGTTGTGCGGCACAAGTTTCTGAAGAAGGTAAATGCTGTTACCCTTTTGCAAACTGTTTTCAGAGCTTGGCTAAAAGTGAGGCAGGAGTCAGATTGCATGACATTTACTACCGTTCAAGTCTATGACTTTTCATGTGGTATGCAGTTTATCAGCTTGTCTCAAACATTTATCGGTATTATAGTTCATTGCTTATTGGCATACCATGCTTGTTCAATTACAGAAATATTGAAGAAATCAGAAACATATAAGAGATATGCCATGCTTTTCGTTCATAGGCATTCTTTTTTGAGGTTGAAGAGGTCAGCACAGCTTATCCAACAGGCAGTGAGGAGTTGGCTCCATCGGAGGCATCAGCAAGGATGTAGTATAAGTCCTGATCTTATGATTTCAGATAGGGTGACTGCTGCCACTACTGTTCAGAAATTTGTTCGTGGTTGGATGGCTCGATATAGATATATTCGTCAACTAGATCAGAAGGAGAAAGCTTTGAATTTAGCCCAACATAAAGTTACATTTGATCTTCAAACAAATGCAGCCGTTAGCATTCAACTTGCTTGGAAAAAGTTCATATGCTGCAAGTCTAAACGGAAGCAGCATTTTCTTGCAACTAAAATTCAATGTAATTTCCGTAGGTGGATATTGAGGAAAAGATTTTCAAGTCAGATTCAAGCTGTTATAAAAATTCAATCTTATTTTCGAATGTGGAGATGTGTAAATGCTTTTCGGCACTTCAAAATTGCGCATAAGGCAGCTATTTTCATTCGATCTTTATTACGTGGATGGATTGCACGGAAGGCAGTTTGTGCACGTAAGAATAGCATTGTTGAAATTCAAGTAAGACATTGGCTTGCGTATTTTTTTCATATTTATTTGCATTTACTTTGTATCACTTTCCATTTTGACACGAAACAATTAATGAGTTATTCTGCTATTAATTCTTCGGTAACATTATTGTGGTGTACTGGTGTTACTTATATATGACAGAATGCATAATGGTCGAGTAATGAAAGTAGGATTTTGATCATTTCATAATAGCTCATTCAACTCTTTGTTGCGTTGTCCTTAATGTTATGTTTCTTCTGTGAAAGTACTAATTCCAGCTGCTATTCTAGCTAATTTTTCGGAATGTTAGAGAAATTCCTTTCATTTTGTGAAGTTTTAGTTTTGAATATTATATAATTTGCTACTTTGCTTGAATTATTCCAGAGACATTGTCGTGGTTGGCTTGTGAAACGGGACTTCTTGTTCCAAAGAGACGCTGTAGTAAAAATTCAGTGTGTCATTCGAAGCCTGGAATGCCAGAAAGCTCTTAATTTTCAGAAAGATGCTGCTTTGGAGATTCAGCGCTTTATCAGAGGGCATATAACTCGAAATCGGCTATTAGGTTATTTGTGCACACTTTATGGAGCTTATCTTTCTTGCTGTAGTAGCAGTTTCATGTTATCTTTACGAAATGTTTTCGTGATACAGGTAGTGCATCCCAGTTACGCGCTGTCGTTCCTGTTAGTTGCATTTCAAGGCCTGTTGGCTTTTATAGTTTTCAACTGGAACAATTATTGTTTTCCGTTATGAAATTGCAACGATGGTGGAAGGGTCTCTTGTTGCTTAAATTGATGAATAAGTCGGCCATCATTATTCAGTCTTGTACTCGTCGGAGGATAGCCAGGCGAAAGGCCACTGTTCACAGACACCATGATGTTGCCATCCAAGTATGATGTTCTACTAGTTATCATGATATACTACACTGATTTTTTACTAAACCAATGCGTTTGAAAAAAAACAAAAATTTGATTTAATTTATTTCTCAAAAAATATTCCAGGTTAATCTACACGTTGACCGCACGATCAATGTGGGGATTGACGAATTAATTTGAAATAACTTTTAAAAAATGAATTCAATAATTTTTTTTTTATGAAAAACCGTAATACGATAAAAAGCCTATACTATGCTGTAGCTCTTTTGTGCTTTGTTTGACGTGGACATTTATACGCTCATGAAGGATTTAGTCAGCTAATATAGTATTATTGATTTAAAGGTATTGCAATTGCAAGGGAAATTTTAGCAGCAGATATGACATTTATATAAGATGTGCTGCTGTTAATCCAAAGGAAATTGAAAGGGACCAAATTGTGTATTTCGGGGGTTGAAGTATCGCAGCCTCATATAGCTGTGATTGCTTTCTTATTTGGAACTTGTAAACCCTGGTTTGGAGAAAACCTTCAAGAAACTTGCTAAACCAATTTTTTTAAAAAATTCATACACCTGTCAATATTTAGTCTTACCTTTAGATAAAAGTATGTTAGTTTTGATATAGATGTATATAGGTCATTAATGTTGGATCAATCAAATCATTTATGTTGCTGCTGGTAATTATAGCCCAATTTTCATGTGTTCAGTTTTCCTTTTTTTTGGGGTTACAATTTAGTTTTCTTTTGTATTTGTTGGTTTCTATATGTTACTAAAGGCTCTCAATTTCCAGGAAGTAGCTGCGTTGGAGATCCAGCGCTTTATTAGGGGGCATTTAACTCGAAATCGGATATTAGGTGATCAGTTCACATTTTTTGAGTGTTTTATACTTTATCTCATTAACCTAGTAATTGCTTGATTTAGTTGTAATTTCACATACTCTTAGTATACTAATACACTATTATTTCACGTTATCGTGATTTAGGCGGTGCTTCTAAGCTACTTGCAGCCATTTCTGTTGGTTGCATTTCAAGACCAGCTGGCTGTTGTAGTTTCCAACTCGAACTATTCTTGTTTTCAGTTGTGAAATTGCAACGATGGTGGAAGGGTCTCTTACTAAATAATTTGATCACGAAGTCTGCCATTATTATTCAGTCTTGCACTCGTGGGTGGATAGCCAGGCGGGAGGCTGCTGTTTGTAGACATCATATCGTTGTCATTCAAGTATAGTATTTTAACTTCTATCCACTTATGAGACACTCCGCTGTAGTTCTTTTATATTTTGTTTCGCTTGCTGTTTGTGCAAACATGGTAGTTTGAATCAGTTATAGTGTTGTTTTTTTGTGCTTTTGGGGAAATTTTAGTAGAAGCTGATCTTACATTTCTTTAAGATAATACCATCTTTTATCCTAGATTAGTGACGGAGTAAATTTTGTGTGTTTTACTTTTGGGTAACATCAACATGTGTGTTTCTTGGGGTTGAAATAACTCCGGAAATCTTCTTCTTTCCATTTTTATCCACTTTCACTTCATATTTGGTATTATCCTAAGCCGTCTTTCAGATGCATATATTTCGTTACTTGGTGGATCAATCAAATCCTTTGTATGGTTACTGATGCTGATCTTAACTAGAGCTAAATTTTCATCTATGTTTAGTTTTCCTTTTTATTAGTTTGTTCCTATTTGTTAATCTTCCTTTTCTCTTTTTTGAAACAATTTTTGTAGTCCCACTGGAAAGGTTACCTTGCACGTAAAGAGTCAAGAGAACATCTATTGGATTTGCGCTTGAGAGTGCAGGAGTCTGCCAGAAATGTGGATGACAGCAAGCGTCTCATAAACAGACTCTTGGCAGCGCTTTCAGAGCTACTTCATATGAAGAGTCTTAGTAACATCCTTCATACTTGTTCAACATTGGGTGAGAGCTACAATCTTTTATTTAATTTTTTTCTTATCATTGTTACTTTTTAACTATTAGCTTCAATTGATGTTTATGAGTCTATGGTTACAAAGATGTCACGTTGATTTCTATTTTCATGTTTTGAAGGAAATTTCAAAAGTAAAATTTTCTTAATTTCACTGCTTCCTTTGCAAACTCTTAAAATCATGAAACAGAGTGAAAACCAGATAATGTTTCTATATTTATTAGTAAAAATATATTATTTGAAAAAAAAAGAAAAGAAAATAAACCAAGCACGGATCAGTTCCTTCAATTATGTGGTCAAGTTCTAATTTGCATGATTTGAATATAAGTTGATATTTAGGTGACCCAAAGGACATAAGAACCGATAGTTGCAGTGCCTGTGATGTAATGGTCCTGATTCCCTTCCCTTCCCCTGTGATACAAGTGTTGTTCTTTTCACAAAAGAAAATATAGGCGAGTTCTAGGGATGCCGTTTAACTTTAAACATGCTTTTCTCTCGCCATTATCTAGCTAAACTTTCAACGAGTCCTGACACGTGATCTTGTTCTTTCTTTTTTTGATTTATATGTCTGCCTTTTCACAGATATGGCTACCGGACATTCTCAGAAATGTTGTGAAGAGCTTGTGGCTGCAGGGGCTATAGACACCTTGCTGAGGCTTATTCGATCAGTCAGCAGGAGTATACCTGATCAGGAGGTTCTTAAGCATGCTTTGTCAACTCTCCGAAATCTCTCCCGCTACCCTCATCTACTACAAGTGCTGATCCAAAGTCACGATTCTGTGCAGATAATCGTCTTGGAGTTACTAAGGTTTCAATACTCAATAGTGGTTAGCCGTTAAAAGTTGATGTAGGATTCTTTTCTGTTCTTGTAAATGGTAACTTTTAAAACTTGTTCCAGGAATAAGGAGGACGGCTACTTCATTGCTTCTGAACTTTTGAAGAGGATATGTTCCACTCATAAAGGAGTTGAGGTCATACTGAAGTCCCCTGCCCTACTAAAACGATTGCACACTCTTGTTGAGGAGCTTACAAGGAAGGCAATTTATGAGAAAAGGTCACACTTTGGCTACTGAAAAATAATTCTATTTTTATGCTAAGTTTGTATACATAAATCTAGAGTAAGGATATTCTAACTACAAAAAATTCTTACTACAAAAAATTCTTACTACTAACTTACTACCCATCACATCACCATTGGATCAAAGAGAGAGAATGTTAAAAAGTTTTTGAGTGAAAAATTTTGGTAGTGAGAATATCCTTCCTCCATAAATCTAACAGGAAGCTTGGATTCGTTTTATATTAATTTTTTTGCTGAAATGCAGAATTGCTAGGGGTCCTAGTCCTAGTCCAGTTATTAGAGAAAACAGAGAGAGAAGATTGAAGGAAGCTGCTGACATTCTGAAGCTCATAACCAGCGCCTGAAGTTTTAAGTTCTAATGCTATACGCAATTTTTTAATATATGTGAGGAATCAAGCGTTTATTTTTTTTACAGAGTCTTTTGCACTTATATGATTCTTGCTTTGTTCGTCTCTAAAAGATGTGGAACTTTACTATGACTCACACTTGAATATTTCTAACATTCTTCCTTCAAGTGTGAGATCCAACATCATGCTCCTTCTTAAGGGTAACTTTTGCGAAAGTCTTTTTCTCTTCAAATATTAGGGTCACACTAATTTTCTATGGAGGTCTTTTTAAATGTTTCACCATCTTCGTATACTTGGCTCTAACCACATTTTTGACTTTGATACCACTAATAGAAGATTAAGACTTTAAAATTGAAACAAGTACAAAATATTGAAAAGGAAAAGCTACACATTTTTTCAAGGGGCAGGTTATATTTACAAACTTTTTTGTTTACAAACTCTTACAAACTACACTATGTAGGATTGGTCCTACATTAATCACACAGTGTATGATCGGTCCTACGTTAGTATAATTGTAAAAAAAAATTGTAAACAGATCCTGATCCTTTTTTAATACACCATGCTTATTAAAAAGCAACACAAAAATTGAGAATACAAATGAAGAGGCTTATTACACTGCTAATAAAGAGCCTAAATACACCATATGTAACACCACTACTTATAACACAAGCTATTATACCTCTATTAAACATTATAGCAATTTAACTTCATAACTCACGTAAAAAAATAAAGAGAAAATTGATTCTTCAACATTCTAACTAAGACAAGAAAATAAATAGACATTTCAACAATTTTATTTACCCATGTCAGTATAATCAGCCGCGACATTTCAATAAATAGAAATTTTCTTTCATTTCTCCAATTTCAATCAGCCACAAATGTTCATCGAATCAGTATATCAAAAGTGATTAGTATTTTTTATATGAGATAATTTTATCTCATATATTTATAAAAGTATATGGAACTCATGTAGGCTCATATGAGAAGAGTGAAAAAAATAAAATCTAGGCTCCACGTACTTTTATATATATATATATATATAGAAGATAAAATTATCTCTTACAATATAAAAAATAATAATATCATATTATAAAATAATCATTGAAAACCACGCTAATTATTAGCAAATTCATGATCCGCAATTAAAATGATCATTTTTTTTTCTTTCTATTTTCGTAAGCTTGACGGGGATTTTTAATATTGTCTTATTAAAAAGAGACACGGATGATCCATTTCCACATTTAGGTTACTTGGTGAGGAGTTTCTCATTTCGCACCTACGAGCTCAGTCATTAATTGGGGCATTAACACAAGGGGCATTACCACAAGTTTTGATCTAATAGGACATGCAAATGTTTGTTTTCTGCTATGATCTGGCAAAAGTCAGTGAATAACATTTAGCCGGGAAGCATAGCTAAGTTAAGATAAATATTTGTAAATCACCAATTCAACTTAAGAATCAATGGACTTTTGGGTTGAAGCGCACAGCCTTATTTATGTTAAATATGTTTATAATATTTATTAATAGGATAGAATGATGATTATTGAACTCATGATCAATTTAATAAAACTCTAATAATATATAAAAAATCAATTTAATCTAAAAATTTAAGCTATTAGGTTAATGTCTAAGGGTTTTATATTATATTTTTCACTCCAAGTTGTTTATCAAGTAATAAATCATTGAATTATTAACCATCTTAACAGTGAACAAATTTAATATCTGACTGAACTCATTGTAATTTGTAAGTTCTAGCTAATAATGCTGTACGAGGCCACAACGAAATCAAAACCGCAATATTTTAATATCCCCTGGCGCAAATTGCTATCTTGCCAGTTACAATGTTGCGATCGAGCGTATCTTCCATGTGCTAGAGTTATCAAAATGATTTAGTTGGTCCTATCGGCTCTGGTCCTAGTGAATTAGGGTCAAAAAATTTGTAGAGTCAAATGAATTTCAAGAATAAAAGTTGATACGGGTCGAAATCATTATAGGTTAAAGCTAACCCGTGTATAACCTAAAATTATAATTTCATAAAAAAAATGATATTCAATTCATTAAAAAATATTTTAAAAAATAAATATTTAAAACTTTCTTAACATATTTACATAAATTATAATTTTTTAAATAAAATAATATTTGTACAAAAATATACAAGTAAAAAAGTAAACAAAATATTAATATAAGTGAACTTTTAATTATTACCTTTACTAAATTTATTATTAAAGGATGTCATCAAATATATATTTTCTCATCAGGTGTCATAACTGAATACAACAACTCTAGTGAAAAACTAAAAAAATGATCTTAATACTAATATTGAATAAATGCTCTTAGTAAACTATATATTTGAAAATAAAACTATTGATTTTCTTGAATTGCTATCATTACAAACATATATTAGTTATAATTATCCACAAAATTACTAAGGAGTGTTGTATGCAATATATTTCAATATATTTTTGGATATATAACATGCTTAGATGTCAATAGAAAAATTTATTTTTATTGATGTGCAAATGAAATTCTCTGTTGATATATATCACTGCTGAAATATTTCATTTTTGTTGTGAAATATTATTGTTGACATTTCACATGGTTCATAACATGTGACTCCTTATTTTTCATGACCTTTGATGTATTCTATAACCATCACACTAATTGTGTGTTGAACTGTAGAATAAATACAAGGGGAATGTTGTAAAATATTATGGATGACCTTTCATATGAATTATGGATGAGCTTTCACATGGTTCGTAAGACGTGACTCTTTATTTTTCATGACCTTTGATGTATCTATAACCATCATCAAACTAATGGTGTGTTGAATTGTAGAATACATCCAGGGGGAGTGTTGTAAAATATTATGGATAACCTTTCACATGGTTCATAAGGTGAGACTCTTTATTTTGCATGACTTTTGATGTATTTTATAACCATCACACTAATGGTGTGTTGAATCGCAAAATACATCTAAAGGAAAGTATTATAAAATATTATGGATGACATTCAGAACATGTGACTCTTTGTTTTTCACGACATTTGATGTATTTTATAACCATCACACTAATAGTGTGTTGAATTATAAATACATCCAAGAAGGAATGTTATAAAATATTATGGATGACTTTTCACATGGTTCATAACACGTGACTCTTTATTTTTCATAATCTTTGATATATTCTATAATCATCACATTGATGATGTGCTGAATTGTAGTTATTCCCTTAATTATGTTTATCGTCCTATATAAGGACATATCTTGTATAAAAAAGTGGTACTTGATGAATTCATAATATAATAATATTTTCAAAGCTCATACTTGTTCTTATTTTTTTATTTTTTTATTTTCTTTATACTATTCACTTTATTTTCTTTCATATTTCACTCTCTCTTATATCTTCTATCAAATTCACAATAATTTTCACTTGTATTTTGTTTATAACTTATCTTATATTTATAAATACTTAAATTTACATAATTTTTATGTTTTTGAAAAAATGCAAATTTTGAAGAAGAAAATTTTTTGGCTCGCGGGACAGCCCTAACTCAGCCCACTAAATTATAGGGTTTTAAGAGTTATGACTAAATAAAACCCTACTACAAAAGGATCCTATTGGATTAGAGCCAAATATAAAACTTTACGGGCTAATCCATAAGATTTAAACCATTTTGACACCTCTATTCAACACACAGTGAGTTGGTAATAATCTCTTGTTGTAAAAGGAATTTTGAAAAAGGACAAATTAGTATATACATTTAAGAAGAGCGGTAAAATAATATTTTTATTAAAAATAAGGATAAAGGCATCAATCAGCCCATATATAAGTATTTAAATCTTATATTGAATGATATGACTTTGTTATCATAAAACAGTTGCGAAACAGATTTACAAACAATGATTAAAAAAAATATAAAATAAAATAAATGAAGCTGAACACATGATATAATTTGTCAATAAATTCAGGGTAAATTATTACACGTTCAATCACCAAAAAGATCTTGGAAATCTCATATGAATATGCAATTTTTGGAGAACATTAATATATATATATATATATATATATATATATATATATATATATATATATATATAAATGTTTCAAATCTTTAATTACCGGTATAGAAACACGTTTAAAAATGATAAGATAATAAAATTTACTTGTTGATACCTTTGTAAAATCTTTCTAAGATCTTGTAATCATAACAAAAATATAATTAACTTTTATGCGGAAAATATATATAAGGAGAATCGTATCATGCTATTTTGAAATATTTTTTAATGCATCATTTATTTTAGGCCACATTTTGCACTTATTCAATAATTAAAATAATAATAATTTCTAAAGCAAGTATGAAACATAATATAATGTCAAAGAATTTGTTTTATCTTGTAATCTAATAATACTAAGAGGGATAGATAAAATGGGACTTTTTGACCTTTTTGCCCCTCATTAATTAATTAATAACCAATTTGCCGCTCCCCCAGAACTATCCATTATCCTGCCCCCCTTTAGTCGATTCAGGTGATGTTTTAGTCGACCACATTGCACAAACTCAGGAATTATGAACCCCGTGTTTTAATCGACTACTTATTTAGCTTTATCGATTAAATGTCTTGAAGATTTAATCGACTACACCCATTATTTAGTCGACTACTTTTCGCGGATTGAGTTTTTTAAAAAAACCCCATTTCGCGAAGGGGGTTTATTTAGAAACCCTAGTCGATTAAGAGACACCAAGACACCACCTCTTGAAGAACCAATCGAAGCCCCTTTCATTGGCCGTCCGATTACACCAAGTCAACCATCTACCTTGTGAATCTGAGTTGGTAGGTAACGATTAAACCCTTGCATTGTGTTTTATGTGTAGTTTTTTTTTTATTTCTTTCTCCTTTACATGAATTCGTTTCTGCTTTTTTTGTTGTGTTATATGGCAGAACGTTGGTTGATTTTTGTTGTCTTTAATTATTGCTTGTGTTTCATGTAATGAAGGACATTTGGGGTTGGGTTTTGATTTTTAAAATTTTCCATAGCCACCGGTTACTTGTGTTTGGTTTAGTTATTAATAGCTTGGTTTAATAGCTTATTTGTATAGCTTGGATTACTTGTGCTCTATGATTAATTTTTTTTTAGTATGCATGAGTATTGATTTTTGAAAATTTTGGATATTCTAATTGGCTGATTTTGACCATTGCTTCCACTTCCATTGTAGGTACGCTTGTTGAAATGGCTCCCCGTAGAAGACTAGAAAATGCCGAAGTTGAGAGACGCACAAAGCAACGTCAAGACCGGCCCTTTTCGTCAAGGCAACAAGACGAAGAGCCTGCTCCTGTCGACCTCCCGTATGAATACTTGTTTGATGATGACCCGTCGGTTCACGCTGCATTTGTACGTGACCATGCGAACCGTCCCTTATGCCCTCCGAAGTCATTGGATACAACATTTTTTGCGGGGGAGGGATTTCAGATTGTGGGATTGTTGGAGGCATCACATCTGAGGGTTTTGGCTGAGATGTTGTGTCCCTACTCAGAGCTGATGGTGCAGGCCTTCTACCATAACCTCAGCTATGTTCAGGGTGAGTTGAGGTCCAGGGTCTGCGGAGTGGACATCATCATGACGGCTCTGGTATGGTTGGAGATACTGGGGTCTGACTTCGATGCTTCGCAGACTGTGGAATATGATGCTGCTAACAGGGTCAACACGAAGTGGTGGCATAACCTGGGAACTCAAATTTCCTAAGTTTGTGTCAGCGTCAAAATTCCCCTCAACGTCCGTATCTGAGGTGTCACCCAGCGAAATAACACTCTCAGGTTCACCGTCGTCATCACTGTCCATATCCTCATCGTGCTCATTCTCGTCTATTTCCCTCAGTGTTATCTGACTTAAGACCGGTGCAGTTGCAGATAAATCGACTACTCTGTCTTCTTGACTCTGACTTCTTTCATGCATGAGTGCATATAGAGTTATCCGCGAAAAGTAGTCGACTAAATAATGGGTGTAGTCGATTAAACCTTCAAGACATTTAATCGATCAAGCTAAATAAGTAGTCGAATAAAACGCGGGGTTCATAATTCCTGAGTTTGTGCAATGTAGTCGAATAAAACATCACCTTAATCGACTAAAGGGGGGCAGGATGGTGGATAGTTCTGGGGGAATGACAAATTTGTTATTAATTAATTAATGAGGGACAAAAGGGTCAAAAAGTCGATAAAGTGAGCATAAAAGAAAATAGGCAGAATAACCTATCCGGCTATCCCTTTAAATAGTATATTACTAATATCTTTTAAATTATAAAATAATATTCCAAATTTATTATAATAAACTTGTGTCAAAATATAATAATGACTATTTTTTTATAAACAATAATGACTATTTTTAATGTGAAATCATGCAAAAATTATGCCATTATCAAGGTGAGCCCGCCATAAAATTAAACATTCTTGTCAACGTTGCACCTAAATTTAAAGACTTAAAACCTTAATTAGTGCCAATTGTGTTATAAATTTGTTAAGTGTGTAATTTTATATAAAGAAATGAAACTGAACGAAATAAAAGGGTTGAAAAATTAAATAGAGTACTATTTGATTCCGAAAATAAATATTCATTTATCATCAAGAGAAAACCTCAAAGTTAAGCCATGACATAAATACTGTAACATTTTTTATATGATTAAAAAAACTTAAGTTTAAACTTTTTGTCATGTTTTTTTATTTTATTAATTTAGTTGACACTCACTAGATTTTTAGGCTTTTGAATATTCTCTTTCTCCTTAAACAAGATTATATATATATATATACAGGGGCAGGATCTTTTGACACTGGTGTCAAATTTGAAGTTTGACACCTCATCTGAGAGCCGTTAGAAAAAAAAAGATCAACGACTCTAATTTGTAAGCATGTGACACCATTGATCTTTTTTGATCTAATGGCTCTCAGATGAGGTGTAAAACTTTAAATTTGACACCAGTGTCAAAGGATCCTATCCCATGTATATATATATATATATATATATATATATATATATATATATATATATATATATATATAGGTAGGATCTTTTGACACCTCATCTAAGAGTCGTTAAATCAAAAAGATCAATGGTGTCACATGCTTGCAAATCAGAGCCATTGATCTTTTTTGATCTAACGGCTCTGAGATGAGGTGTCAAATTTCAAATTTGACTCTGGTGTCAAAAGATTCTACCTCATATATATATATATATATATATTTATATTTGAGGAAGGTTATATTTACAACTTCTTCTTTTTTTACAATCTTTTACAACTATATCTTAACACCGTTGATTTCTGTCAATCAACGGTTATTATTCTCGCAAATTAAATCCATTAATTAATTATTAATTCACAATAAATGATAATCATTGATTGACAGAAATCAACGGTGTTAAGATATAGTTGTAAGAGGTTGTAAAAAAAAAAGTTGTAAGTATAACCTTCTTCTATATTTTTATAACAAAAACAAAACAAAACTATATAAGTTTGATTCCGAAAAACTGTGCAAAAATCTCTCATTTTTTTTCTTTTACTCGTTTAAAGAATGTTTATTTAAAGTTTCAAAACCCTTTTAATCTATTTTATCTTCGATAATTCAACCTTCTTCGTCCAATGTTAAGAATATAGAGATATATTATAGAAAAAGAAAAAGGTCTTTAAATAATAACAGAGTAAAGAAAAATTCTAAAGAGATTGGAAAGAAATAAAATTGTTCAATGCTAATAAATTGTAGATCTATACCGTAAAAATATACACTTAAAGATATCTATCGAAAAGATATTCTATTGACTTAAAATCAATGTACAAATTACTATGCTCAAGCAATATGCATATAATCAAGATTTGTGAGTGTGTGTATAGTATTGAGAATAATAATAAATAGGTCAAAATTGTATACCTGAGATCTTTACACTTATATAATTTATCTTTGTGAATTTAGACTTTAGATCTCCTTTAATTGATATGATAACTGCTTTTTTTGTTGGAGATAAAAAATCTCATTCTTAATTCTCCTTGGATTGTGTTAATGTGATAAGATTGAGATAAATTATAATTTTATATTAAATACGTGGTTAAGATATAAATCCAGTTTATAACAAAAATATTGTTAACTATTGACTTATTTGTATTTTCTTATTTAGATATTTATAATGTTATAAACATTGTTGTTAAAATCTTGATTTATCACTACGATTTTACGTTTTTACGATTTTTTTCATCAAAACGATTTTAATAATATTCCAAATGCTTTTACGTTTTTATGATTTTTTACGATTTTGTTACATTACATTCTTACGTTTTACGATTTTTTTACCCTCTTTCGATTTTACTTAAAATTTCAATTTTAATAACATTGGTTACAAAGCCATAATGTTAATACAACTTTAAACACTTCATAAATACATTAACGGATGGTCAATAATAAAGGATTTATACTTCTTATGCAACATAAGAAGGGCCTTCTTATGCTACACTCACATCGTTTTGCGTGTCAATATTTTTAATTTTTTTATTTACCATTTTCCAATGGGGTCCACTTGAGTTTGTGTGTGTTGCAAAAATTCTCATCTTATGTCACATAAGAAGTGTAAACCCCTAATAATAATCGTATAAAATATTTTTTTTTTCATTTACATGAAAACTCCAGGTTATAATTAAAGAATTTTTTTTAATGGTAAGATTTGTTTCCTTTTGAGAAGGAAACAAATTTATAAAAAGATAAAAGAATTTGTAATATTTGCGCGTATAAAAGATTTTCTTCCATTTAAAAAAAATATTTTCTTAAAAGGAAAAAATATCACGGCTAAGATACATTGACACGCTTCACGGGTAGGGTTTGTGTCTCAACCACTCTTTAAAACACACACTCTTCGTTTGCCCATTGCATCTTCCTTCTTCTTTCTCGCTCTCTCTCTCTCTCTCTCTTTCTCTGTAGAATTTCCGATTCAAGATGATGCAGCCTGGACCTGGCATGGCTCCACCAACCATGGCTCAACAACCCAACCAGCAATACCAGCAGCAACAGCAGCAACCTTACATGATGATGCCGCCGCAACCTCAGCCACCGCAGATGTGGGCGCAATCGGCGCAGCCTCCGCCGCAATCGGTGGCTCCTCCTCAACAGGTTCAGCCAACCAGCGCCGATGAGGTTCGTACTCTTTGGATCGGCGATTTGCAGTACTGGATGGACGAGAACTATCTCTACACCTGTTTCGCTCACACGGGCGAGGTATAAAACGCTTTCTTCTCTTTCTCTTCTTACGCTTTTCAAATCGTCGTGAAAATTGATGCTTTTATTTTTCTTTTTCTTTCTTTTTTTTATGTATATAATTTGAAAGTTAGATTTGAACTCGAAATGAAAATGATTTATGTGAATGAAAATTAGAACGAGAACGGAGATACTTTTTTTTAAAAAAAATGTTAATTCGACTTTCATTTAACGCCGATTTGTGTTATGAATCTTGAATTTTACAAATTTCTATCCCGGAGAATTTGTTTACATGATGTGTTCTGTTTGTTTGAAGTGCCTATTTTTTTAGGTAGATTATTATGTATCCATTAATATGTTGATGGTAAAAGTGTAATATTTAGAAGTGTAAAAGTGTAATATGGTGGTGGTTCAAAGTCAATATGTTTATTATTGAAGGAAGTGCAATTTTTGGTTGCAGGTGGCCTCTGTTAAAGTCATTCGGAATAAGCAAACTAGTCAATCTGAAGGTTATGGGTTTATTGAGTTTACTACTCGTGCAGCTGCTGAGAGAATACTTCAAACATATAATGGTACCATCATGCCAAATGGCGGACAGAACTTCAGATTGAACTGGGCAACTTTTAGTGCGGGAGAGAGGCGTCATGATGATTCTCCTGATTACACCGTTTTTGTTGGAGACTTGGCTGCAGATGTTACAGATTATCTTCTGACAGAGACATTTAGAGTTCGGTATTCTTCTGTTAAGGGGGCCAAAGTTGTTATTGATAGGACCACCGGCCGGACAAAGGGTTATGGTTTTGTTAGGTTTGCAGATGAGAGTGAACAAGTTAGAGCTATGACTGAGATGCAGGGGGTTCTTTGTTCAACAAGACCCATGCGTATCGGGCCAGCCTCTAATAAGAACCCTGGCATTCAGCCAAAAGGTTTGTGTGTTGCCTAGTTGAGATATATGCTTATGCTGGCCATTTTTATGCAAATGTCTGCTTGATATCCTGCATAACGAAAAAGTTGATCTTTTTTACTTCAGATGCCAACTTTTGGCCTGTTAATGATGGTTGGATTTTTAATGCTTTATACCTCTAGTTTTGTTTTATGCTGTGTGTAGTGAATGTTTTGTCTATGATTCTTTTCAGTTACACTCTTGAAGATATGCAGTCCAAACACATTTCTTCCTGTAATTTCCTTTAAAAATTTTGGGCCAAATAAATAATATATAATAATAAAATCTTATAGAACTCCTCTTGTCTCGAAGCAGGGTGACAAAGAGGCTCTGTCATCTCGGAGCCTGGAACTGATTTCAGCTGAAATGGTTACCATTTTAGTCCATGGCCTTGCGTAGGTCAGTTATCCGTTTACGTCTTGCCCATTATTTTTGGTGGCATTTTCTTTCCCGCCTACATTCCCTTTATTTTTGGTGGCATTTTCTTTTCCGCCTACATTGCGCAACTATTCTAATTACTTGTATTTTCTTTTCATTTCATTATGTTGGTTGGTTTTTTAGCCAAATTACATAGTGCAAATATTCTAGTTACTTATATTTTTCAGTCCACCATTCTTAATCTTCAGTCCTTTAATTTTACTCCTTTGAGCTCACTGGAAGAACTGCATCTTTGAGTTTCTTTTGTAGCTTTCCCTTGATCTAAAGCAGATCTTGTTTACTTTTTGTAATTTCCTTTGTTCATCTATCTGATGCTTATCAATTAAAGTTTCCAATCTCTAGTCCATGAGGAGAAAAATTGGGGGTACCAGGGTTTAGTGCTTTGATTTTGTAGAAACTGTACTCTGCAGTCTGGTTTTGTTTATCATGTCTTTTTTTTTATTATTGTCATTATGCTTTGGGTCTGAACCCATTCCCTGTCTTTCTAAATTTCTCAGCACGGTGCTATGCAATTGAAGCTGTAATTTACTTTACATTGCTCAGTACTTCTGGTAGCCTAATCTCTCAAAATGTCATGAAGTTAATAAATGACTTGTAATGTTTTCTATAGCCTTGCACAAGCATTTGATAGCTTCCTGCTCCATTCTTATCTTCAGTCTCTGGTAAACTCTGATTATTCATATCTTTCTTAAATAGAGATAGGATACAAGGATTACCAATCTTGTGTCCATAGGTTTATAATATATACTCTCCTTCTCCACTTTCGCTCTTTCATTCCATTTTGTTTGCTGCTTTATATATATTTATTTTCATGCAGATATTGCCAATATCCTGCCCTTGCATTGTATCACAACTATTTCTGTTGAATTTTCTCATGAAAATATCTTAACCTGTGGTTTACTTTTTATGTATGATTTTAATTATATTGGTGAATTGTGTTCTCATATTTGAATATATATGGAGTATGAAAGGAACTAATCATTTTATTGCTTCTGAGTGTGCTGTTTTTCTATATATGCACTTGCTGAGTATTAGTGAAGTGTTTTTTGTTTTTTCATATTTGAACATTTGTGGTGCATGTAAGGCACTGGTAATTTGTTGCTTTTGTAATTGCGCTGTATGTGTGTGATTTTGGAACGAAACATCTGGAGCTGAAATTGAGATATTCAAAGTTTCCTGATAGCTGTTGTGACTGAATTCTGAAACATATTATGCTTAAAGTTGTGCGTCAAAACAATATGTTGTGTCTTTCATCGTTAGTAAATTATTTGGTACATTTTATCTGTCTTTTTCGTTAATTGGTGTTTCCATGAACTGCTTCCTCCCTTGTGTTTATGTCATTCATCTTTTTACTTCACTTGTACTTTGAACATGCAGCATCATATCAGAATCCTCAAGGAGCACAGAACGAGAATGATCCAAATAATACAACCGTGCGTACTTCTTTGCAATATGGAAACTCCTTTCATCCGTGCTTGTTTGTGACTCTATTTTTTTTATTGTAGATTTTTGTCGGCAATTTGGATCCTAATGTTACGGATGATCATTTGAGACAAGTTTTTGGGCAGTATGGTGAGTTGGCTCATGTAAAGATTCCGGCAGGCAAGAGATGTGGGTTTGTCCAATTTGCGGACAGGTATTTTAATCATTTGGGTCTTTGATATTTATCTTGTGTGAAATTACTTCCTAGTCTATGCAGCGCTCTGATTGTGTCATCATTTTTCATGTGTCAGGAGCTGTGCGGAAGAGGCACTGCGGGTTTTAAATGGTACACTTTTAGGTGGACAAAATGTTCGGCTTTCATGGGGCAGAAGTCCTTCAAACAAACAGGTAATAGTTACTGATTGTTGTAATTCTGAGTAGCATTAGCCTCAACGTGTTACTGATTCTGATAAATGAATTTGGTTTCCTTGGATGGTTTACAGACTCAAGCAGATCCAAATCAGTGGAATGGTAGTGGTGGTGGTGGATATTATGGATATGCTCAGGGTTATGAAAATTATGGTTATGCTCCTACTGGACAGGACCCCAATATGTATGGCGGTTATCCTGGCTATGCAAATTACCAACCTCCTCAGCAACAGCAGCAAATGGGATATAGTTGAGAAGTTCCGCCCCAAATTTTCCGTTTTCTTTTGTAATCCTATGATACTTATTTTCTGTTTCTTCTCTATTCGTGTCTCGTGGAAAACCAACTTTGCTCCTTTTTAATTTTGTTTCGTATGATTGTTAAACATTAATATTCTATGCGTTTAATCCAACTAGTGTTTCGCATGTATTTTAAGGTGTTCAACACTTCAAATATTTCTTTGTATCCATAAAGAATTGCTTTGCTGAAATACTTCTTTGATGTTTATGTTTGATGAATTTGCCCACATTCGATATCTTGTAATAATTATGTATTATGCGTAAAACTTAGGTTCGCAATTTTACCCTCGACCTGGTGGTAGCACTAAGGTAGTGTTTGGTTCAGGAGAAATTTTTTGATACTAAGAAAATGTAATTGATAGGAAAATGGAAGGAAAGTAAGTTTGGTAGGAAAGTTTAAAAAAAGTTGTTTGGTACCGCAAAATATAGATGGGAAAATTGGGTTAAATAAACTGATGTATGTTTGGTTGAAAATAAGTTTTTGACGGGAAAAAGAATTAAAATGACAAAATTAACCTTCTTCGTCTCTGTTTGTCCTGTCTTCTCCAAGCGGCCAGCTTCTGCAAAAAAAACATCACTTTGGAGGTTTGATGGACTAGCCAGCTATCAGAATTACATAATTTGCAACTGAAACTTCACTAATATCATCATATGATTTAGAAAACATCATCATGTACATCGGGTTTAGACGCTTTAGAACATGTTTTTCCCAATCTGGCCTGAATCCAAATGGGCTTTCCTCAAGCCACACAGTTTGGCAATGCTCCAAATCAAGCTTACCCAAACCACATCTCAAGAATTGTTCCTTCGATTGTGGCTTTCAAAAGTAGTGATGAAATTCTAAACCCTCAACTCGCATCTCAAGTTTTGTCAGAATGATACATGGTTTTGGGGTAGTCGACGTGTGGTTAAGATTGGAGGGGTATATTTGTCGTGCATGTCCCACCATTTTCAGATATCCGCTTTCTATGGAGAAAACCATCTTCACGAAAGGGTTTCAAAATTGGATTTCCTTTGTTATCATAGATTGATAGACAAACATCATTGATGGGGAAGAGACACCAAATCCATTTACCAAACGTGGAGAAGAAAGAAACCCGTTCTCACTTTGCTAGGAAAATTTTGAGAAGCAGCGAACCAAACACTACCTAAGGCATCATAATATTAGGATATGCACTTAAATCAAAACATGCAGATGTCTTTCAATTTTTTAGGTTAAATTAATAACTTTCACTGGAATACGAGAATTATTTGTATGATATAATCATGTTAAAAAAGAAATACGAGGGTTCATTTATTTAATATGCCTTTACGTCTATTTTTCTCAGCATGATCAAGAATTCATATGAAACTATACATTCACTCTTTTTACTACACCAATTCATGACATAGTACTGTAGCAATTTTGTTGGCAACGAATTACCAAATACATATGAGATCCACTTAACAATTCTGGTATGATATTGTTAAAAATAAAAAACGGCATGGAAGCTACGATAATTAAAGTACATACACGTAAGGTTAGTAGGTGATGCTTGAGTATATCAAGAATGAAAATCTGTGCTATTAATGTCTTCTGGAAAGACCAATTGTGATTTACAGTTCTTTAAAAAAATCATTTCGACTAGTAATTTGGTTTTGCATCTCTTTAAACCATGAAAAATAAAATTGGTTTAGATACTAACATTTTTTTTTATTCTTTACATTAAGAACTCAACCAAAAAAAATGTTAGTTTGACCCTATAAGTTAGTCAACTCAAATATTCTTATGCTTATTTTTCAGTTAAACTTTATTGTTGTGTTGGGTGCATTTTCATTTTTCAGGTTTTTGTCTTATGTTGGAGTGCTAGGAGCTTGGCCTCTGAACCCGAAATATCCTGACTATTCTATAATTAGTATTGTTTTAATATTTTAAACAAAATAAAAATAAAAATAAAAATAAAAGAAACACACTAAAAGGAAGTCATCCGGGCTAGGATGGGCAGTTATTAAACGGGAGTTGGATCATTTCTCTGAAAGAAAACAGTACAAGTATTGTCAAAAAGTGAAGATTTTGTCCACGCTATCTGAAATTTTAATCCAACTAGTGTTTCGCATGTATTTTAAGGTGTTCAACTCTTCAACATAACGTTAAGCTAAGTCGATTGTAAACATACCGTTCTCTTTGTGTTGGATTATAGAAGAATTGATTGTAAACAATTTGACACAGTCGAATTTTACTACTTCTTTTTTTAGAATTGTTTAGACTTGCGTATGGTAAATTTTTTTTACCATATATCTTAAAATATCTCAAAATATTTTATTAACATGTATACATCTTAAAATATCCAATAAGCTATGCTTACTTTCAACCTAACATTGACTAAATTATTTGCCCAATTCATACAACCAAGAGTTGAACAGATTTATAGTTTAAAACATGACAAACTAGCACCAAGTTATATTTTCTTGTTCATATATCAAGAGCTGAGTCACAAGATTAAAATTATTACCTCGGGATGGTATTGCCTAATCTGTCCCAACTGATAGCAGATTGTATTATCATCTCTAGACAGTCAAATTTAGCAAATAGTCTGCCTACTCATATATTATCTATCTCTGTCAATAACCCAACAGTGTACATTCTCCCCCAATACCATGTATTCAGATATCACAGGTAAGATGTAAAAATATTATAGGGTTTTTATCTTTATATTGGAAAGTATTTATTCGAAAAGTGACAGCAAAACAAAAGTAGAGCAAAGGGCAATACTTCAAAAAAAACCATCAAGATTCCAATAAAACTGTCAAAATCAGATGAATACTGTACTTGTTTATTCTAAGGCCTAGACTCCAACCATGCCAGACCACCTTCTCCATCTTTTCCAACTAGATTTTCAAGAAGATCCAGTCTGGATTTCAGATTCCACTGATTTAACTAAAGATTCAGGAGGTTGATTGAAATCACTATGCAGATCACTCTTCTGCTGGAAATCACATGCTTCAGATGAAAACTTGGACTCGGAAGGAACAGACTCATCAATCTGGGGATCACTCTTCTGCTGGAAATCACATCCTTCAGGTAAAGACTTAGAGTCAGCAGGAACAGATTCACCAATCTGTTGAGAAGGAAGGGATTCAGGTTGGCTGGTCTCATGTGCATGGTTTGATCCTGCATCGAGAATATTAGCAACACCAGTACTTGGTCTTCCATTTAAGTTTGAGGTCTCAGGAGCAAGCTTTGTCTTTGTATCTTCCAGTACATCTGTTTTTGGCGAGGCCTGCTTCTCCACAAAGTAATCAACAGATTTGCTAGTCTGTTCAGATGGCATGGATTCAGGTTCAGCCGATACAGGGATTTGGTTGAGTTCGATATTTGATCTATTTGCTTCATCATGAATCACCTCATTCAGCTGATGCACAGCCTGCTGCTGTCCAGTTCTGAGCTCCTTATCACTGTTTTCGATTGTTGGAACTATGTTGATGGGTTTAGAGTCTTTTGTTGTTCCTCCATCAGCACTGGATTCTTTTACTTGTGCGGAAGCATCAAGTTCATTCAATGTTTCACCTTGTTTAACAGTTTTGTCACATTCCAACTCTGATATGATAGAGGCGGACAAAATCACATGCACAGGGTCTGATGTTCCTTGTGGAATTCCTCCACTGGAAATAGAAGTTTCATTCTTTGGAAAGTCAGCAACGGGTATCAAAGTAGAGGCAGGTTGATTCTCAAGTGAAACTGAGATGCCAGAATGGATCTCAGTTGGTAGCACTTGATCTTCAGACATAGGCACCTGTAATTCTGGCTCAAAAGATGGCTTGCTGCATTGGACTGATGAGGGAACAGAATCATGTGTCTCGGTCTGAGGGTTAAGAACTGGAATGGGAACGTCTTTCCTTTTGGTCATTGTGATATGTGGAGCCACATCATTTTCTGCAGTAATTGGAGCAACTTGGCCTGGTAGAAACACAACACCTCTTAAAATAGCATCAGTGTCTGCCAGCTTCACTTTAAGAAGATATCCAGCTTTAAAAGTGCCTTCAACGACCCCAGTGACCACCTTCCCCACCATTTCATCCACACAATCATCAGTTGTGCCTGCTGTTTGGTTGGAGTTCAACACATTGTCAGAACCAGGCATTGCAGGCGCATTCTCCACCTGAACCATGCTTTCTTCTTTCCGCGGTCGACCACGTTTTCGTTTCATTGGAACATTCGATTGAGAGCCTGATCCTTGATTCTGTTGGTTCATCTTCCAGAATGCCAGATACTGAATGTCTCTACAAAACCATCAAGGGATAATTATTTGTTTGAAAAGCAAAAGAATAAACATAAACAGTAATACATGTGTGCACATTTATCCCTCTTAAAAAGGGGAACAATCTTAACCAAGTGACCGAATATTTCAGAGCAAAGAAACAGTGATCAGGGGGAGATAAAGCATTAAGCAACAAAGAATAGAATGAAAACAGTGATCAAGACAACATTCGCAAGAAAATGAAAACAGAACAACAGAATCCATTATCCATACATGCAAAAGCACCACTTTTGCCACAACCAATGTGAGTATTATTTAAATTCAAGAAAACTTAAATAAAGGAAAAAGAAAATACTAGGCACCAAAGATAAATATTTATACACAACTAACCATCTTGAAAATTAAATTAAAAAAAATATCAAACGCTTTCTTAGGAAGAAAGAACAAAAGAATCTCTTTTGAACGCATGTTTAATAACAGGTGAGCTGCACTGGAAAATAGTACCATACCTGTTGGATCCAAGAGGGATCGTTCTTAATGTTTGAGAGACTATAAGAGTGAGAATTCAGAAGTGTATAAGGTGACACTGTTTGGGTAGGACACGAAACTTTCCAAGTTGAATAAAGATTATATCTTGATTCGTATTTTGAATCTTGTTCTTAATCATCTAGAGCACGTGAGAGCCATTAACAAAACCCTAACTACAAGAGTGGCAAAAATCACAAGTGGATTCCGAACTTGGACAAAACGAAAAACAAAAATTGTAAAAGATTGGTTTTTATGCTGTTACGTAAGCGTAAATGCAGCAAGAAAACTCACAGATGGATTGCGGCAATTCAAAGACGTTGGGAGAAAAATGGGGTTTGTAGAATCAACCATAAAAACTATAACTTTAAAGATTATGGCGGAAAAATTCTGGTCATGGCGGAAAAATTCACATATGATCTCTGTTGAAGTGTTTATGGGTTTGGGATTATCTGAAACGGAAATACAAATGAAATGAAATGAAACGAAACGATGAAAGGAGTGTTAAATTAAATTATATATATTAATGGTTGTTGGTTTAGTTGGATTAGGATTTAAGAGTCCCTCACATCCTCTCTTCCTCTCCAACTCCAACATGCTTGGAAGAACAAAACCTCCCACGTGGCTTAACTTCATTTTTTGTAGTAATTATTAATAATAATAATCAGCCTGCCTGAATATATCATATTTTATATTAGTAATATTTTTCAATACGTATATTTTAAATATGGGCATAGAATAATAATTCAATTATGTTTTCCCCACTTCTAACTTTTTTTCCTGAAAAAAGTTTCCCCCTCACTGTTTGGATCCAAAGTTTTAGGGAGATAAGATTGTCATATATGATAAGATTGAATCGGTCAATATAATGTTTTCATTCTTGAACACAAAAAAGAAAAATAAATTATGTAACATAAATTTTATATTATATTGTTACACAAATTGATTTTTACCAAATTTGCACATTTTCATTAATGGTGACGTGGAAGAAGATTGATGTATTCCCTTCACCTATTAAGTTGAAGTTTATTTATTAAATATAAAATTAATAGATATATTATATTTGCATAAAAATAATTTTTTTATTTATTGTATATTATTCTTGAAATCAATAAAATTTTATATAAAGATAAAATCACATATTCTTATAACATTTTATCCATTTTATAAGGATCTTTATTATGAATGTTTCTAATCGTAACAGTGATTTTCTGTTTATTAATTTGGGTTTAAACGTTCTTATGGTATCATTGTTGTAAATTTAAAATTTTTTGTGAGAGACAAAATATGCCAAATAAGGTGTCATTACGTAGACCTCGAAAAGTTATGTAAAATCCAAATTTTTTTTTACCTAATTCGGACACTCGATTCAAAAGTTATGGACTTCCAAAGTTTTACGATCAAACTGTTGACTTTTGTGTCACATGGCAGCACATGGTGAAACACGCCCCACAGAAAAGTGTCTTTCTCCTCGATCATGTCCAATGGGAAGTGTCTCTCTCCAATCGGTCACGCTCATGTGAGGCGTGTTTAACTGCTATACTGACGTAAATAACTTTAAAACGACTATATTTGTGTAATTATTTATTAAAAAACAATATTTAAATTTTTTTGCCGTTACTTCTTTGGAAAATGATGATGAATGAGAATAAGAAATCTATCTCTTTTGTCTTCCCTACTCTTCTTTGTCCCACTTATCTTGTATCATGCATTTCTATCATCTCTCATCACTCTCAATTTTATAACACATGTGTGGCGCACTTGTATAAATTTTGTTTTACATAATATTATATTAATACTATAATAAGATAAAAGTATGCAATGACAAGCCATCCCTCATGTGTTTGTGATTAAGTATTTGTTTACATGTTATGGTTACTTGAAATATAAGCAAAACAAGTTAGTTTCTTTATATATATCTTTGTTTATATATATCTTTGAATAATTATTAATTGAAGATGTACTTGGAGAGAGGAGTTTGAAAGAAAGAGAAAAGGAGAATAAATATTTTATTTTAAGTAAACATTTTCTTATTTGATATATATATTTTTTGAAACAATTATTTGATATTTTCTCAAAACAAAAGAAATAAATAAACATTATCATAACATTTCGATTTTTTATTTATTTTTATAAATATTCCATAATTATCACTATAAATATTAAAAATTAACCCTTCATTTTTTTTCTTTACCAAACCATTCATGTGGACCAAACATTTCCTAAACTTGCTGACATCATAAATTATTGGACACTTATAATTATAATTACTTGGAATGCAATTTGTAAAAACAAAATAAAACTAGTAAGAAGCCCAGTTAAATTTTGTTGTCTAAGACAAATCGGTTCCCTTATGGCCCAAAAATCTCTTCTCGCAGGCTCAAGAGTCCAGCCCATTTGCAATTCCAGTCTCTTGTAATTGCTGTAAGAATGGCTGCATAAAGAATAAGATTGAAGTTATAGTTGTAATGTAAATCAATTAGTCTGGGGTTTCTAAGATTGACGAACAATAATGAACACCAAGTGTTTGATAATTATCTTGTGAGAAGAAAGAGCATATATTCATGGCAAACAGCAAATATGAGTATGTCAAGTGTTTCGAATTTGAGGACGAGGTCATGTTTCCCAATCTCATCCTTGTTTGGATCAATGCCCGTAGCTATCCTCTCATTCACAAACCTTATGATGAAAACGCCTTGAAATTGATGAACTCTTGTGCTATCGCGGTGCTCCAAGAGTATGCTGATGTAGTCCTTGCTTATGGGTTCAGTGATGAGTATACTTTTGTTTTCAAGAAGAGCTCCAAGTTCTACGAAAGGCGTGCTAGCAAAGTGCTATCTATCATCACTTCCTTTTTCTCATCTATCTTTGTGAGAAAATGGAGTGAATTCTTCCCGCAAAAGGAACTACAGTATCCTCCTTCGTTCCACGGGCGAGTCATAGCCTGTGCATCCATTGAATCCCTTCAAGCGTATCTTTTGTGGAGGCAAAATATCTGTCATGTGAATAACCAATATGATCAATGCTTCTCTCGTCTTGTCAAACGTGGAATGACTGAGAGTGAGGCACGGGATTTCCTAAAGGGTGCTGAGAAATGCAATCTAAACAATCTTCTATTCGATGAGTTCAATGTCAACTACAATACTCTGGAGCCCATGTTCCGACAAGGGTCTTGTGTTTTAAAGACAATGGTCGAGGATGTTGTGAAGTACACGGAGAAAGGTGTTCCCATTAAAAGGCACAAGAGAAAGATAATCACTCTGCATTCGAAGAAAATAGCAAGTAAGAGATTTTGGAATGAGCAGAGTGTTCTTTTGAAGGAGCTTGGTGGGTTTGTGGAGGAGATTGACAATGTGAAAGCAGAGTATGTGAGGTCCTTTGAATTTGATAGCAAGTTGATGCCATCTACATGGATTGTAGTTCGACTAGATGGATGCCACTTCCACAGGTTTTCCGAGATACATGAATTTGTGAAGCCAAATGATGAGAGGGCTCTTAATTTAATGAATTCATGTGCAATGGCTGTTTTAGAAGAGTTTCCACAGGATATAGTCTTTGCCTATGGGGTTAGTGACGAGTATAGCTTTATTCTTAAGAAAACTTGTGATCTTTATCGAAGGAGAGCTAGTAAAATCGTTTCCGCCATTGTGTCTTTCTTCACATCCACTTACGTGATGAGATGGAAAGATTTCTTCCCACAGGGTGAGTTAAAATACCCTCCTTCTTTTGATGGACGAGCAGTGTGCTATCCATCTACTGAGATTCTACGGGACTATCTTTCATGGAGGCAAGTGGATTGCCACATCAACAATCAGTATAACTCTTGTTTCTGGAAGCTTGTTGCATCTGGAAAAAGCAAAAAGGAAGCCCAGCATAGTTTAAAGGGTGCTCAGCTGCAAAAGAAAATTGATGAATTGGCTATTGACTACAATAAATTACCAATCATGTTCCGACAAGGATCCTCAGTTTTCTGGGACAGGGTAGACAATGGTCTCATTCATCAGGAGAATGGAGAGTCTTCTGAAAGTTATGGAAAGGTCATTGTAGAACACTACGACATCATTGGATCAGCCTTTTGGTTGGAACACCCAAGCATCCTTGATTGTACGCAATAGGTATAGTGTAGCACTGAGTCTGCAAATTAAATTTGATTACTTTATTTAATCTCTCGCTGCTGAAAATTTTGGTTAGTTTGGTTTCACATTCTTGATTTTTAATTTGTATTTTCTTGTTTAATATTCACGAAACCTAGAATTACTGCATACATTTTATTGTTGCAACTGCAGATATGCATGCAAGCCTTAAATCCCTTTACGTTCCTCTTCTAATGAATGGGTCTGTTTGCACAATTACAACTTACAACCATGACATCAAAACTCAACAGAACTCTGACTGCAATTTATTATGAATTAAAATAGAACTGTGCATCAATGAATAATCTATCTATCTATCTATTTATATAATATATAAAACCTGAAGCCGGAGCTGTGAAACTGCTATGTATGCTACTCGATGCTCTCTCCAATCACCATGTCAACTGAAAACTCATTATCCTTTTTAGCCACCTCATCATTTTAGTGATGTTGTCAACTTTTACTTCAACCTTCCTTTTTCCTGTTGTCACAATGTCACGCGTGCTCCATCTATCTCCAAATTGGTGGCTCTTGACCAACTAAAATGAATGAGCACCTCCTCATGGAGTTTCTTTCCAGCTCTCTTTCGTACCACTCCCCTAGTGTTACTCTCTACAGTCTCAACTACACGTCTTCTCAGTTCTCAGCTCAACCAATTCTGTTACTCTTCCTTCAACAATGTCCATTCAACTCGCTTTTTTCAATAACAAATAATTGTGTGGTGCCCATGAAAGAATCAGAATCTGGTCCTTCCTCCAACAGTACCAAAGCCACTGAAAATCCTTCTTGGACTCTCTTTGCTACTCAGAACCTGCTTTTGGTGACTATTACAAGGTATCTTCATTCTTCATCAATATCATGATATTTTTTCATTCCTTTTAGAGAGAGTGTTTTTCATTTTTTCTCTTAGAAGCTGTTGTTATACCATTGCAGGAGCATGGGTAGTGGCCCTGCATGAGTGGGATGTATTTGTGAGAGTTCTCAGAAGCCAATGGTTTGCAACCTTTATTATTGATTCCCGGTATTTCTATTCTATCAGGTGCTCTTTCTGATTAACCCATTTTCTAGTTTAAATTTCTACATTTCGAATAGCAACAATGTAGAATGTGTTAATGTAGTTCACATCTATGTCTATTCTGTTAATGTAGTTTGGAAAATTGAGACAATAATTAGAGTCAAATTAGGTAATGTTATCAATCTGTTAAAACTTATTTATATGAGTTTGATGGACAGTATAGCACTCGAACCTGACGGATTTCTGATAGGAATACACCAATCCCAAGGGTGAGCTCTATAAGGACTTCGGGGATCAGGCCCTTCCCATGCTAAATGTGCATAATCTCACAATTGGTGGGGGACTCTCTCATAGGTAATTGGTTCTTTATTTATGGGTGATTGATTCTGTTATGGGTGATTTATTCTTCATTCATGAGGAACCTATGTGTAAAGTACAGGATAAATAATAGAGAAGGGGAGTACTTTAGACAGACTATTGAGTGAGTAGAATTTGAGATTAATTATCTCTCGAAAGCTCTGCAATTCTGTTTTCTTTTCCCTGTCAATTTCTGGTTTCTTGTATTGTTCTTACTAATATCACACAGATATCATCAACATAATACTGATCTTATTCCGTTCTTCATCTTCCTTTTCTATTTTCTTGATTGAATCCTTTCACTTTCATAGGGCACTGAGAAACAACTTTTTGAAATCAAAGCCTAGATTGTTCCCTACACGGTTGTTTATTGCATCTCACTTGGCTTTCTGTAATATTTTCTTATCATTTTGCTCTATATCAAGTTTCATTGGATGTTAGCTTTTGTTTGGAATTATAAATTAGCTGTTCAGAACAGGATGGATGGAAAATTTGGCGATGCTGATATCTAAGAATTAGATGTTAGCTTTTGTTTGGAATTATAAATTTTTACTAATTTTGAGTACTTGGAAGATCTCACCCCGCCGAGCAAAAGCTTATCGGTGGTTGAAGAGAGTCTCTAGTTTTGATGTTTGTTTCACTTCACTGTTACTTGTATGTAAACCTTGTATATCAATGAAAGATGAATTTCTCGAGTTCTTTATTGATGGATTATTTTATTTTACGTGCCAATTTCAAATGAACTTCACAGTAAGATGTGGCTGCATTGTGGGAAGCGAAATAATTTTTCCATGTTTGGGCTGTTCTAAGTGGCTTTTTCCTTTTAATCAACGCAGTATATATGTTTGTTCATCCAACAGGAAATTGAGATTATATCAAAAAACATATGCTAGTGTAAGATTGAGCCTCATCCACACAGAATAATGGTTGTGCCCATACTCAGATTCCATCCAAATTGTTGACACGAATAAACACATAGCTGACACATAGCTTAGGGTGATAACTCTCTGGATGAGACTCTCCAATTAGGCCAACAACTATGAAGGGTCAAAACCAATGTTATTAAAACCGGGTGATTGACCTTAGCTACTGGCTTATTGGATTATTGGTTTGTGACTGGTTCAATCGCATGACCCGATAATTATATGTAATTTTATAATTTATATTAAAAAATTATAAACATACTCAAATATCTAAAAACAATGATAAAAATTTCAAATATTTTAATATAAAAAATAATAAATCACATATTATTATCCAATAAATGATCAAACAAAAATATCATGATTGTGATACAAGGCTTCAAGTTCAGTAAACGATATCTCTAACTATAAATCAAATCAAAATTTTCTGCATAGTGCATAATTGAGATAATATTAATTATATAGGTACATAATTTATGTAAGTCAATAAGCAAAAAAATATTCAAATATATCCATTATGATTTTTTTTTTGGATCGGGCCGGGTTTCATCGGTTTACCGATCGGGTCACTGATTTTCATGAAAACTGGCCGGATTGCACTGGATTTTACCGGTTCTGATGCATGGTCAATCCGTTACTTCAACCGGACCGGTTATATGACTGGTTCACCGATTTTCGGATGAATCCGACCAAGTCAGTCTGATTTTATTAACATTGGTCACAACAATCCATCACCGAAAATCCTGCATGTTCAAGATATTAATTATTAAGATAGAAACTGCCATTACTCAAATCGAATAAAATTATAATAGAAGGAAACAAATAATGAAATATTTGGAAGAATTATATAAATTTTTTATTAAAGGATATTTTTGTCAAAAATATTTATTTTTATCCTATAGTATTATACAGAGCATTACCAAACACAGGATAATATTATCTTATATAATATCATATTAAATATTAGATAATATTAAAATTTAATTAGATCTTATACTATCGGATCTTGTATTATCAGATCTTATTCTCTCTATACACCAAAGATGCCCTAACATCCAAGTCTTAACAATGAAATATTTGGATAATTTAATACCCGTGGCCGTAATCTTGTTTTCTTCTACGAATAGAAGTTCCAGTATTACTCCTACCCAATGGAAAGGTCCAAGTTGCGTTACTATAGTTTTTTTTTTTTTTTTTGGATGAAACACTGAGGTGTAACATATGGTAAGCTCAAAGGTGCCCTCACAAAGAGGGAAAAAGAAAGTGAAATGTATTACCAAAATTGAAATATGTGCACTCTGCAACAAAAAAAGAAAAGAAATATGTGCACTCATAGTACATGTCAGAGCTTTATTAACTGAGCTGTTTCTAAGGAATTATAGTAGTTTTTTTCATAGTTAAGGAGAAAAATGTGTGTTATTTTAAATGATATATCTTACATCTTTTCATTTTTATAAAGATATGAGATTCACGTCTTTAAAACTTTTTCGCCCATTTTCTCTCTCATAATTTATCTCTTTCTCTCACTTAAAATAATACAATTTTGTATCTTTAAAATGATACACATTTTTTCCATATTACCCAACTAAAAAGCCAAATGAGGCATTTAGGCACATGTTCTTGTAATGGTTATTAGCCATTTAGACTTTTAGAGCTAGTAGCATCAAGAAGCCAATTAATCACTTTTTTTAGGGTATCTTAACATCCAATTATATAAAATCATTAATATTTGATTAATTTTTGCTGCACTAAATTTTATATTTTCAATTAAATGTTTTCTTTGAAATATTTAACTATGAGTTTTTTTATAATAAAATGAATTTATTCCAACATGTATTAAATATTTGTTCATTAAATTAACAACTCATATTCATTATGTTCAATATTCAAATTTAAAACAAGCATATATGTAGAAACAAAATAACTAGTAGTATTACCCGTGAATGAATAACAAGTGGTAAGGAGCTTTTGTTTCTCTATAGATCTGAGAGTTTGAACTATAATAATTGGATAATTGATAAATTTGTGGAGAAATTAAAAATTAAAAATAAAATAAAATAAAAATAATTTCTCATAAATTCATGGTAGTTAAACATTGATTAATTTAAATTTAAATTTTTAAGGATTTGATTTTGATAGATCGTTAGCATAAGACTCTTTACACTGTCATTTGATCATGTACTGCCAAACAATTAAAGAAATTTAAATATCACCACTGATAATTAAAAAAGACATCGTAAACAATAGAATAGCAATTCCCTTGATTCAACCTTTATTATATTTGCTAGTTAAAATATCCACATTAATTACAACTATATATAATCAAAGAAAATATCATCCAAGTCCCACATTTTCGTAGTAAAATAGTTGACTTAACTCATAAATTATGCAACTAGATATATGTTAGTGTTCACTAGACTATTAGTTGTTTTTGTGCAATTTTTCTGCACCGCTATAGTGGGATAAATGCACTCTCATTATACATGATCCCTTTTTCCCATGCACACGCACATAGATGATGGTACCACACACTGCCTTACTCATAAGGACAAAAACAATTTGGCTCGAGCATGACTCACACCAAGGGATCGCTTTTCTATAACTACTTCTCTTCTCTATTGAAGAGTCACTTTTTACACACACTCTACTTCATTGTTGTTACCTTATTGGATTGCAGTCTAACCAAAACCACCGTGCCCTCCCCTCCACTTGATTTTAAGCATTCGCCTTAGACTTATATATATGGTGACTCCATCATTGAGTTTTGATCAATACCAATACTTCACTAGATTATTGTTACATCGACATACTCTACTGCTAATTAAAGGGAAACATATATCTCACCCTTAAACAAGTTCAAGATGAAAGTAAATATGATAAAAGAATTCAAATTCTTTTGGTATTGAGTCTTGGATTCTGCATAGAGTCTCCTCTCTGTCTGACACTAAATACAATGACTCATTTTTTTTCTTCTTGTTTTTCTTTTTTATTTTATCCGAAATAGCGATGAAGAAGTACTAAGCGAAGTGAGTGCACCAAATCTTTGGTAAGAATTTTCGTGGAATCTGTGTCTGATAATCTACATATAATATCTCTTATTTTATTATAAATGTTTTTATTAGTCGTCCCTTGACTAGTGATTGATTGTAGTATTTTATAGAGTGGCATGGAATCAAAAGGCCTAGAATTGAATTATTACTTTTTGTTCAAAAAAGGATGCTTAATTACATATTGTATATCTGATTCCTACACATGAGCATTCATCCCACCAAGACGTATTATTTAAAAATAAAAATAAAAAGAAAAGAATCCTTCAAAGCAGAAACCGGCAAATTAATAAATAAGTACTGCGCGCATATATATAAAATAAATGAAAGAACAATCAATGTATAGCTTCTGAAAAGGTATGCTTGTGTCATGGGTACACGAAACATCTTTGATATGGTCTATTTTTTAATTTCTAGGGATTATGGCTCGGGGCAAGTTAATACTAGTGGTTTATAACTGAAATTTAATTTAATTTATCTGGTTTTACACAAGAAAATATCACTTCACTCGATCGCAGGATTAATATACAAATTACACATTCCCTCAACCTCTATATCTTATCTCACATGAAAAAGTTGAAAAAACTGGAAAATAAATGAAAAAAACTGTTGAGTTTCTTAGTTGTTCTGTACAAGAACTAATGAAAAAACCTTCTCAATCTATATACTACACAACATCAATCAATTAATTAACCTCAGGAATACTCTCTAGAACAGGGTTCCAGGGTCTCTGATGAGCATCATGATGCCTATTTGCAAGATCTCTGGCATTTTTTAAGCGAAAAAGAACTTGTTCTACAGAAGCTCGCCCAACTTGCTTCTTGATCTGATGTTGCTTCTCAATCACTCCCAACAAGTCTGCAAGATCTTTCTTTGAAATCTTTATCTTCACCTTCCCATTGGCATCAGAAGAAGCTCTCAGCGCTCCTAAAAGCTTCTCCTTCTTTACGTTCTCTAAACTCAATCCATGAGTTTCATCAAACACCTTGCTTGAGCTCGTCTTCCTCGTAGTCTTATTAGATGTCAAAGAACTCCAGTCCTCGCCGTGCCACTCCATTGACGATGCCGGCTTGCAACAGTTTCCCATATTTTTTACAGATGAATGAACAAACTTACATATAATATCTATAGATGAGAAGAAAACAAAAAAGTTCTTTAACTCTTAGATATATATGAAATTGTATATAGTTACAGAAAAATGTGAGTATTAATTATTTCACTCTTGGAATATTGCAGTTTGTGTCTTTGTGAGGTGGGAGGTTGTGATATTTATAGGGGTGGGGGTGATGTAAGAGGAATGGATGATGGGATAATTGACTTTTTGGTAAGCAATGATATTATTGATAATTAGTTTAATAATAATATAAGGTGGCAGCTAAACTTGGTCTCTGTTGTTTGCAGTCTTATGATTTTAGCCAAATATGGCGTGTACGACCAAGCATGATTAGCCGTCTTAATTGTAAAAAAATGTATGAAATGAATGAGAAAATTTAGCATCTTTGGGAATTGGGACTAGCTAGGCAAGTGAGTGTGAATGTACGTATGCTAATCGAATCTTGGACTTTGGGATATTCGGCCCTTCAATTACCTCCACGAGTGTGTTTGTTCTTTAGCAGGGCTCTTTTTTTTATTTTATTTTATTTTTTTCTTCTTGACAAGATGGTACGTCAAGGAGAAATAAGTGTGTGACTTAGATAATATTAATTATCCATACTCATAGTGAAAGGGATTATATAGAGAATAAATATCATTAAGTGAATTATTGATGCATATCCAATCATGTTAGAGGAGTAATGAATAGATTTTCTGATTCTACGTTACATGCAATAACGGTTTAAATCTTGCATTGTCAAATTATATCAGTACTGAAAATGCATCAATATTTCATAATTCGAAGCCCATATGAAGATTTTACTGTATGCGTGCCATCTGTACGTCAAAACGTGATGAATATAATATATTTGAAGCTGTTTAGAAAGATGAAATCTTAAGCAAGCTATCAAGAATTTCAAAATAATTCTTCACATCATATATGATTTTTGAGAATCACCAAGAAAAAAACAAAAATACGAGCCACCGTTTTCTTTGGCATATTTTAAGTTTCTCTTTATATATATGTGCAAGTAATGCAGAAGGAAAAGTTAAGAGAAAGAAACTTCTTAAAGATAGAAGCATGCAATTAGGTTAGTTCACTAATATTTTGGTTATTTTTTTTATTTTATTTTTTGTTCGCTATTTTGATGTTTAAGGATCCCCGCACGAGACTTTGCACACATGATAAGTTCTCTGTGCAGGAATTGGAAGAACTCAGGTGCAAGACGTGGGTTGATATCAAAATCTTCTGCATGCACCCAAAAAAAATTAAAAATTAAAAATTACTAATGAAATTTCTATTTTCCATTAATTTGTCACATGGACGAACCTTCTGGATATTTTTTGTCTTTGATTTGCAATAGTATTGCACTTCTTGTACGAGCAATGTTAATAAATGCTATTCACTGAGTATGAACCAGACACCTGATTCCTCATTCATGATTAGTTGCTAGCTCTCATATCCAAGCTTTCAAATTAAAATTATAGTTACGTGTGTTATGAATGAAGTTTTGTGTATTATGAATGAAGTTTAATTAGTATTTAGTATACACATACGGTATGTTATACTCAAATTCACATTCACTAATATCTTCACATATTATTATTGTTGGGAAATTCGTTCCCTCAAACTCCAATGTCAAGCGGGTCCAGGGGAAGCCCGTGGTGGGGGCCACCACCAATGAGCTAAGGCTACACCAACCGTAGCAAGTGGATCCGACACTATGTCTCAACCCAAAACCTTAAGGCATTGGGTTCATGGGTCCTTTCACTTATATACTTTTCACTTAGCTCATTACCAACCAATATGAGACTCATCACACTTGAATATCTCAACAATCTCCCCCTCAAGTGTGAAACCCACCATTGGTATGCTCCCCCTCAACCGAGTACCCGAAGCGCAAAGTACTCGACCCGCCTCCTAGCCATCACTAGGCTAGCTCGAGCCCAATCCGGCTCTGATACCACTGTTGAGAAATTCGACGAGGGAGCCTAAAACCCTTTGCAAAGGGTACATCCACCAATGGGCCAAATGACAAACCATAATAAGTGGGCCGACACCACATCTCAACCCAAAACCTTAAGGCTGTAGGTTTATGGGTCTTTTGCGCTTATATGGTCATCACTTGGTCTATGTCTAGTCTATGTGATACTTCTTTACAACTCATACTTGATTATTTCCAACATCTTCCCTCAAGTGTGAGGCCCAATATCATTCTTACCCTAAGGGCAACTTCTGCGGAAGTCTCTTTTTTTCTCTTTCAAATATTAGGGTCACACTAGCCTTCTGCAGAGGCCTTCCAAACACTTGGCCCAGCCCAGATCATTGGCTCTGATACCAGAGTTGGGATGGGTCCTTTCACTTATATACTTTTCACTTAGCTCATTACCAACCAATATGGGACTCATCACACTTGAATATCTCAACAATCTCCCCCTCAAGTGTGAAACCCACCATTGGTATGCTCCCCCTCAACCGAGTACCCGAAGCGCAAAGTACTCGACCCGCCTCCTACCCAATCACTAGGCTAGCTCGAGCCCAATCCGGCTCTGATACCGCTGTTGGGAAATTCGTTCCCTCAAACTCCAATGTCAAGCGGGTCCAGGGGAAGCCCGTGGCGGGGGCCACCACCAATGAGCTAAGGCTACACCAACCGTAGCAAGTGGATCCGACACCATGTCTCAACCCAAAACCTTAAGGCATTGGGTTCATGGGTCCTTTCACTTATATACTTTTCACTTAGCTCATTACCAACCAATATGGGACTCATCACACTTGAATATCTCAACAATTATTTGTTATGATCTTATATAAAAATTAATAAAAAACAATAATATAATATATCAAAATATTATTAAATGTTAGTATAAAATTTATTTATATCGACCTTACATAATAATTAATTTTTACTAAAAAAATGTTATGGAGTAAATTTTTACTATTCCTGTAATATATATTTCACCTATTAAAACTAACAATAGTGAATCATGTGAGATTAAAAATAAAGAAGTAGATGGAATAAATCATTTGCTTCTAATTTTAATAACATAAGTTCTCATAATTTTTACTCAAAATCATTTGTAACAAAAACTATAAGAAAAAGTTTTATATCTAGCTTACACTTGATTATCAATATGTTAAATATTGGTAGACATTATATATTGATGAGATAAGATATTATGCCTACCTTTTTATATTTACTTTACTTACTTCTTTCCTGTATTATTAGATCTTATTAATTGATCTTCACCATTCTCTCTCATCTTGAGATGGTGATCTAATAGTGTTACAAGAAAGTATGTAGCATAGGCGTGAAAAAAGGTGGACATAATATTATAACCCTATATTGATTGGTTAATGGACTAATAATTTTTTTTCTAAAAAGAAAAAGAAAAAAATAATGCTAACAAAACAATAAACACTGTTAACTAATAATTAATAATTGATAATAAGGTATATATGCCGAATATGAAATTTCACAGGTGTAAGAATAGTATGATTATTTTTAATTTATATCTATAATGTTGTAGAAGAATTTCCAATTTCGTTATCTGTTTTTTTTTTTCTCCATAATATTTGTTTAAATGCAAATAGAAAAGGATTAATGTTATAAAACATTTACTCTGTAATTATAAGGCATAATTATTTTATTTAAACATAAATATAAAAATAATAAAGTTATAGTATAATGGGTGAATAAAATAATAATAACTGTGAGTATTTTTATTATTATCTTTTCGTATTATATAATTTAGAGAAATTTTAGTGACATTCATTTTTTTTTAGTATTCTCTGTAATTTTGAATAAAATCTGGTCTTGCTATAGAAAGTGAGTCAGGTTAATTATTTAGTAGATCCCACATGAGATTTCAGTCACTAATATAGAAAGTGTTAAAATATCAAATAATTGTTATTAATCAGCATCATTATTAATTTATAAGAGAAAAAACTCTTCACTAAGATTCACTCACTAAGCTTTTTTAATTTAAACTTTCAATTGTGGTCTGCGTTCCGAAAATATCATTATCAATTTATTTGAAATTTAATCTTCAATATATATATCACCCCTTTTGAAGTTTCAAAAAAACTTTTATCTACCCCGGATGTATAAATGTTACTAAAGTAATGTTATAATTGCCCTTGATTTCTCAAAATGATGTCCATTTTTCAATTCTGGAATATATATATATATATATATATATATATATATATATATGTGATCGTGTCACTTTATGGGCTTAATTTATTTTTCGTTGAATAAGTTTTGAGTTACAAATTCCAGAGTTTCCAGAGGCAAAGACTTTATCTCGATGATCAAAATTTTCCTCATTGAAAGTTTTTTTTCCTCACGATTGCAACTTTTTCCTTGGAATACCATTATTTTAAACTTCAACACTTACTTTGGCAAGCAGTGAATGGAGAGCGACTAAGTATGATAATGATACCATGAATATTATCTATCCGTAATTGCGTCGCCAACTCTTTTTATGGATAAGCATCACTGGTCATTTAATCATCCTTTATCATTCTTATTCTTATCTCAATCTCTCTAATGCGTTCTGTCGAATCAAATCATCATTCACCCTTTAACAAAATAATAATAATAATAATAAAAATCTTCATTCACCCTTTGCCTCAGTCAATCTTCTTATCCAAACCGATTCAGGCCTTACCTCTTCAACGCATAAACAGTCTCATTTTAAAATGAATATTTTGTTTGTTTGTTTGTTATGTGTATGTATAAACTATGGATATGTGTTGTAATAAACTATTAGTATTTTCCAAATATTCTTTCCCTTTTCTGTATGGTCATCAATGATGAGCGCCTGAGAATTTGCCCGATCAATATTATATGAATAGGATATAGAAAATATAGAGTTAATGAAAATGAAAATGTCTAAGCTCGATCAGATATATAAAAACATCTGCACGTTTTTCTCATTTTTTTTAATATGTGAGATTTTTCTTTTTAGACCACAAAATTAATTAACAAAACTAAAATTTGTAGGCACGCAGCCTTAACTCACTCTAGAATATTAAGACATGACGTAAGTTTACAGATGAATTATTAACTGATATGAGTTACTTGCATCGACTTCCTTCGAGTGATTAAATAGAAGTTGAAATAAAATGTCCTAGGCTGAAGTTTTATTGATCGTTAGAGAAGGGTAATTTTTCTATAAAACGCACAATCTCTGGGTTTGAATTATGCATTGCAAAATTGATTTTGGATGAACTTAATTTTATACAATGCCTCGAGTTTAACCAGAGTGTGTGCGCGCGCACTTTTAAGATATTAGGTGAAAATTTATAATATACAAGCTTACCTACTGATAGTATGTCAAAATCATTTTCTTTAAAAATTTAATATGTTAGATGAAGACATATAAATAATTTTTTATCTAATATTTTCCTTGGGCAAAAAAGCTTTGGGGTACAAAAATTTAAGTTTTTAGCTCAATGTTCATAAATGATTATATATATATATATATATACTATTGATAAGAAAATACACTTCTCCTGTTATTTGAGACATATATTTCTTCTGTTGTCGATTTTGCATTTATATATTTTTTTCTTTTCAAAAAGCTTATGGATCCACCAAAATATTTTCTTTAGTGGAAAACTTGAACCTCTCTTGTAGCAGGAGAGGTGTTAAGCCCATTTTGATAATGATGGTTTTACATATTTAGGTTATGTGATCTATTTATCTCATGTTGCATGAGATAATTATCTCACGCAACAGAAATAAGATAATGAGATTCATTACTTTTATAAAAAAAATAAAAATAAAAATAAAATAATAAACCTCATCACTTTATCTTTATGGCATTGAGATAATTATTTTCTTATACATATATTCATTGGCAGAACACAACCTGGTCGCACTGCATTAATTTCATGACAACCAAAACCAAACACTCGATAGGTTAAGTGATGTACTGGGTACTTAGGCCCGTATTATCATAACTGATGCTAACTCAAAGAGTCAACTCCTTAACAATGTTAGGCCCAGATAAGGTTTAGAAATGGCACAATAGGAGAGGCTAGGAGCCAACCCCTTCAACCAGAACCACTGAACACTGAATACTTCAACTTATAACATTTTCAAGTCATGTCATGGGGCTTTTATCTCCATGTGTAGATTTAGATCACTAATATATTGTATCTCAAAAGGGCAAGCTAGTAATATAGTCTTGTGTCAATCTCGAACTTCCGAAGTTAAATCAGATTACCTCTTCTATTTAATTTTCTATCCACTCTACTACTGCCCGCTAATGGCTATGGTGAAAATAAATGAAAGTAGCCACAATTAGGAGAAAGTGGGTGAGATCCCAAGTCACACAGAGGAAAGAAAAGCACAAGCACATAGAGAACCGAATTTGATTAGGCTTGGCTCACTCTGCTTTCAATTACATCTGTAATTCCACCAAATGAGGGTAAAGAATATTATGAAAAAAGTACATAAAATTTACTCCATGAATTATAAAGAATCAATTCAATCTAAAATTTATTGATTGATGACTTTTTTAATGATTTACATCAACTAAACAAAATGCGGTAGCTAGGATCAGAATGCTATGGTACTTCCTGGCTGACATAAATTTCCTCAAACAGATCAGAAGCAAAAGCCAATAAAGACACATTCGGAAACCGTCTGCAAAAATGAAACAAGTGGTTACCATTTAGAATTGGAGGTGGTAGTGGTAGATATCTCTCTCAGACGTGCCTTTTCATTGAAAGAGGGAGAGAGTAATTAGTTTCAAAGATAAAAAAATGGGGTGAAAATTTACATATACCGCTAGAATATTACGAGTAAAAATTGAACCAAATACTTTTCATCAACATTTTTTTTTTTTTTTTGGGATTCAAGGGAAATAAACATCATCATCAACATTTTTAGCACACAAGACTTTAGTTTTATGCCATTCACATTTTCCAAATATCCTGGAATATATTTTAATAAAGTGATCGGTTATATTTACAATATTTTTGTTTACAAATTTTACAAATTATATTATATTCTTTCAGGAGTACAATTCTAACCGAGTCTACTCCAAGTTTGTAAATAAAAATTTGTAAATATAAGTCTTCCCTTTAATTAAATATATACATTTTAAAAAAGCTATAAAGATGAAATGAATTTTTTTTAAAACTATATTATATTAAAGGCCCTGCACATATATAAAAATATGTAGGACCAATATTTTCTCTTTTTCTCTCCTTTTCTTATGTGAGCCCATATGAACACATATATTTTTATGTATATAAAAGATAAATTTATCTCTGACAAATTGTCAGAAACAATAAACCCTGGGCTAAAGCATCATTTTAAAGTTTTTGGACAAAAGAATTGCCCGGTTAAAGCTGATTGCATAAGTTTTTTCAAAGTAATGCAGTCAAACATGTCACCTATGCTGACGGGACTAGTCCCGTCACTGAAACTGTCAGGACTCGTGCCACGTCAGCACCACGTAAGCAGTCCAATTACCGTAAATTTTCGGAAGACCATAACTTGTGACTCGGGTATCCAAATCAGATGATTTTTTTTTTGATTTCACATAACTTTTCAAGATCTACGCAATGAAACCTCATTTGATATATTTTATCTCCCACAAACATAGTCTTATGGATAAACACTCTTGTGATTGTGATACAATTGTTACAAATTCAAACTATGTTTTTGGGAGATAAAATATGTCAAACGAGGTATCATTGCGTAGATCTCGAAAATTTATGTGAAATCAAAAAAAAAATCATCTGATTTGGATACCCGAGTCACAAGTTATGGTCTTCCGAAGATTTACGGTAATTGGATTGCCAACGTGGCGCTGATGTGGCACGAGTCCCGTCAGTATCAGTGACGGGACTAGTCCCGTCAGCATAGGCGACATGTTTGAGTGTATTTCTTTGGAAAAACTTATCCAATCAGCTTTAACTGGACAATTCTTTTGTCCAAAAACTTCAAAACGGTGCTTTTCTCTATTAAAAGCTATATCTCGGAGTAGGTAACCTTTTCTTTTTGCAGTTTTTATCTATAACTCTACGAGGAATGAAGTTAAGAAGGTTATCATAAATACTCAATGAACTTAACTAGGAATTAGGATGAACTGCTACCACGTCCTTTGAAGTTAAACCCAAAAAAGAAAAAGAAAAAGAAAAGCATGCAAATAAATATGCGTAATGAGCGGTGACCACACAGAAATATTCCGAAATTCCAACCTCGTTTGTCTCGTACATTGTTCATGGCCTACACAGTCACACCTACCCCAACCAAATGAACTCTAGCGGCGGGACCCACATTCTTCGTTGCCGGAAACATCGAAATTCAGGCCGCAAGCTCCCATGGAACAAACACTCCGGTAACACTTCTCCGGTGAATTTCCGTCAAGGCTCCCCAAAAACTCAGTTTTCTGCTAGGAAGCTCGCAGCAGGCTTATGGCAGTTTCGATTTAAGGAGGTTTCACCTTTCCCACATGGATCTTTCCGTTTCTCTAACTCACAGTCACGGGTATGTGCCATAATACTGCCATGTCATGTAGTTTTTAACTTGGTTTTAATATGAGAATATTCACTTGTTGGAATGTGAAAACAAAAAGTGGCAATTAATGCAATTGCCTTTGAATCTTGGAACTGCTCTTGTTGTTCTGTCCAAGCTTGGTCTATCTTTTATAAAATTTACTTTAATTGATCACTGTGTTAATTTCTCCTCTTCAATTCAAGTGAACAACAATATTGAGATTCTAGTTCTGCTTCCTAATCCATTACCTTCCAATTTGTGCTCCCTGTCCTCAGCTTGAATGTTCAAAGGAAGAGATGACAGCTTTTTCTTCTAAGATTCATAGCAAGAAGCATCTTAAAGAAAGAAAATTAAGAGGTGACTCTGTTGTCTCTGCTCTGATACCAGAACTCCTTCGGGCTCAAAGGTGCATCAATAAGCTTAAAGCCGAACACAATTCCTCTAAGAAAAAGCTAAAACAATTGGTTCGGAACCTTGAAGAGGAAAAAATCCTCTGGAAGCATAGAGAAGCCCAGAAGATTCAAGCAATTTTAGATGAGTTAAAGGATAAGTTGGCAAGGGAAAAGAGAAGTAGGGAGAGGATGGAGTTACTGAATACCAAATTGCTACATGAGCTGGCTGAAGCCAAGCTATATGCCAAGAAATTTATGATAAAATATGAGGAAGAGAAAAAAGAAAGAGAACTAATGGAGCAAGTTTGCAATGAATTAGCTATGCAAATAGGAGAAGACAAGGCTAAGCTTGAGGGATTACAGAAGGATTTTATGGATATTCGCGAGGAAGTGGAAGAAGAGAGGAAGATGTTCCAAATGGCTGGGCTATGGCGTGAAGAAAGTATGCAGATGAAGCTAGTTGATGCAAAACTTGCTCTTGAAGATAAGTATAATCAGATGATCCAGTTGATTGCTTATATGCAGGATTTCTTAAGGTCAAGGGGTGATGAGCTAGACACCATGAAATCAAGGGACGCTCAGTTGATCAAACAGGCTGCTGAATCAGTAAATGTTCAATGTATAAAAGAAGAACTTTCATATGATTTCTCAAAGTCAAATGAAAATTTTCCCATTTACGAGGAGCTCAGAAAAGGCAAAATCAACGAGAGAGCGATTAAAGCAGACTCCCTTCCCTCATCCACCATCCACATCGTGAGTTTTGATGAAGATTACTTAAACAATTACTCTGTGTTACATCAACCGAGCACCTCCAGTGATTATGGTTGTTACAAACACCGTGATTCCGTGGCACAACATAATTCAGAAGATCTTACATTTGATGAGTGTAAAGGGAGATTCACAACAGGCTCATCATTTCATAGCGGTGGGATTACTTCCACTTTTATGTGTAAAGGTTCAGGGGAAGGTGGCTTCAAACGTTGGGAATTATTGGGACAACGAAACTCTACAGACACCATGAATCCACACATAACTCGTGGGATTAAAGGATGCATAGAATGGCCACGACCACGAGGCATTTCCAAAACCAATTCGAAGGCCATCTCTTTGGAAGAAAGAGTGCGAAAACAGAAATCTCAGTTACAACTTATACTTAAGCAGCAGGCTTAAGACCTTGTTTGAAAAAGATGAATTAGAATAAAATTCCATCAATTTACTCTTATCTTCCGTGGTCCATGGAATAAAATTCCATCAATTTCTCACAGTTTTCAGCTTGTTTGTCGAAAATAACATTGTGTCTGTCCGTCGTCTATTCAGCCTTTGATCAATTTGTAATCATGCTACGGTTATAATTGATAGCATCTCGAATTTTGAGTGTGATTGATTCTTTTATGGAAAACCAAACCATTTTTGTAACACAGATGTATTTTTATTCCTTGACAAGCTACATTGTGTATGTTTCCTTGAAATCATGTCTTGCACACTTATTTTTTATGATCTCTTGATATAAAATTTGTTCAATTTGTGGTCATTGTCCTGAGGCTATTGATGCTCTTACACTTTCCCCATGTCTCACTGACCTGTGTGTAAAACTATCAACGGCTGCAATGAAACAAAGAAAGGATACTTTTGAACCCTAAATTATTCGATGAGGTTAAGTTATTCGATAAGGTTATATTAATTATTTATATATCTCTAATATGTTTTTTTACACGAGAGTTCATTAAGCTTAAAGGATGATAATGCATAAGCACACCTACCTATTAAATGGGGACGGTGAGATCAAACACATGTGATACCAAGACTCTAATACCATATAAAAAATTATTTTAACTTAAAAACTTAAATTATTAGATGAAGTTATATTACTGGCCGTATATATCTAGCTATCTGATGAGGTTTTATAAATTTCTAACAGTATCCAATAAAAAAAACTAATCAAATGAAAAATCGGTTGCCACTTATTTTAATGGTTATCACAGTATATTGTGGTAACCGATGACTAACCATTTTGTTAAAGAAATATAAAATTAACCTGTCATCATTTATAAACTTAAACTTTTTGGTGAGATAGTTGCGGATGGTAATTAATCGTTTAAAAGCTCTTGCATGAAAGGATTGGTTAAAAAGACATAATATAAAATCATTGAAAAACTAAGCTTTAACCTAAATTAGTTCTTTATACATTTAATGGTAATTATCACGTAGCAATCATCATTTGCTATGATTTACTCTCCTTGTGCTTCTTTGACGGTTTAACCTAAACGTCTGAATATATATATATATATATATATATATATATATATATTCTAAATAATCAGCAACACATTGAATGATTAACTCTGACTTAATAAAGTCGTATAAAGCCGGTGGACAAGAATGGCATTCCTGATGATGCGCCTATAATTTTTGCAGTATTTCTTTGCTGGCAGATATGGTTAGCTTTAAGATGGACCCGGTTAATCCATGCGAGCTTTAACTATATTAGATGGAGACCCTACACGTAGTTTTCTTTATGATTCGTGCTTTGTGGGTTTGTTTGTCTTTTTTTGTTTTTTTGTTTTTTTTTTTGAAGAAATGAACAAAAGGCAAAATACAGGTCAGGGGAAAATGAAGACCCCAGACAAAACATGAAGTTAAAAAGCACCTTGACACTGTATCCTCGGTCTGCGTCACGCCAAAGCCTCTTCAAAGTTTCATGCTTGTCAGTAAAATGCTAAACCATGCCGTGTTAGCCCCACCAGAGACAACTGTCCTTTATGTAGGAGGACATCTTAACTATTATGGTACTGAGAACCGGCTATGATGGTAATTTAAATGGGATGGTATGGAGTAATTTTTTGGATGTCCTGGAAAGTGAAAGTGGGAATGATTTGTTTTCATGTTTGGTAGAAGAAAAACATAAAATTTGTCTGGGTATCATTTATTCCCTTGCAACCATTTAACACTAGCGATTGTGGATTATAATTCCCATTTAGAAGGTGGGTATTGTGTGTTCCCATGATTTGGTTTCTATGCGTTGTATTTGGCAGACTAAATTACCCTCCAATAATGATTCAAGATATGGTTCATCACAGGAACACAACCTGCACAATGATTCAAGATACGAATGAAACATTATGATTTGAAAATAAAGTCTTTAGTTTACCCACAAAAAAAAACCACAAATTGCATGAACTCCCATGGATGATAAGTGGGGAGGCTAACTTCTGATATAATTCATCACAAGAACACAACCTGAACAAATATTGAAGATAAAAGATAAAAATCAAACTACTGTGGTGGACGTACTAAATAAGCTGTGTACAGAGACAATATTATACAAGCAACATATGTTTGTCCCTACTTGACATTTAACCAAGACGGATGCAGAGGGAGGAATTTGCGTTTGCGTTTTGAAAATACTTTGTTTTTAGTTAATCATTTTTTTTATAAGTTATTCTTCACGAGGGTACTTTTGTCAAATTTTATCATATTCCCATCAATATTTTGTTTTCAATCAAACACTCATTCACAAAAATTAATCAATATTCCCGGTAATATTCTGTCCTACCAAACATCTTTTTCGTCAAATTCCCAGACAATTTTTGTTGTAGCTATATACCCGGTAATCGTGATTCCATGATACAAAAAAAAAAAAATTCCAATACCAAACGCCCTTATGGTAAAGTATTTCATCAGTTATAAGAGATAATTTATCTTCAGTTATCTTTAAAATTATGTCATTTTGAATTAGTGAAAAGTGTTTTTATAATTTTAGTGAAATTAATGAATGGTGTTTCGTTAAAATTTATATGATAAGAAAATAAATAAAATTACGAAAACACTTATCATTAATTCAAAACGACGTAGTTTTAAGGGTCACTAGAAATAATTTATCTCCGATGACTGAAGAAATACTTTATCCTTTATAAGAAAATTATAAATTATGTATTTTGGGGAATATATTGTTATAATATTAAAAAATAAATTTTCTCTCTCTTAAAAAAAATCAATTGGTGCATTGAACTTCGTCACCAGAGAAAGATTGAGATTAATTCCCCATTTGAAGAGAGAGACATGTGACCCTCAAAGATTTTTCAAAGATTTACTAGAAGCAGGATTTAAACCCTTAATTCAATCAAATTCTTGAGAATTCAGTTGGCAATTAAGCTACCCTTAAAAATTTGACAGCTGCTTTCTTCATTTATGAACAAATTTTGGGTGCTCATAAACTATGTACATCTCTTCTAAGTAAAAGGTTTGGATTGAGTGGGAAATAAAGATAAAGGTATTGGTATTAGAAATAATATTTTATGGGCCCATGCATTGCTTTTTCTCTCTTCTTGTATTTTTTTTCTCTCTCCTAAAATGTTGTTTCTATAAAATAATTTTTTTTTTTCGTGTAACAGCACCAATGCATTCCCCGTATACTTATACTGGCACAATTCTTATACACTTAATTTTTTAATAGAGAAGTGATTACTGAACTCTGTGTAGCAATTAAAATCATGAATTAAATCAACAAATTAATTGTAACATAAATATATGCGTGTACTTAGACCAAGATATCATAACTCAATTAATATATAAATTAAAAAAGTTATTAACTTGTTTAATATATGAATAATAATATTTACATAAACTTATATTTGTAATTTTTCACATATTCTTATGTAAGTTATTATATCAACAACCCATATCCCCTATTGTGAAAAACAAGATGCTTGTAGCAGAAGAAATCTTCAATAATGTCAGACTGTGATTGATATTCGATCTCTCACATTGATTCTTACTCGAATATATTGATAGTGGTAATAGATATAAAGTTTTATAAGAATTATGTTGTAAAAAAAGTGATTGTGTAATGTTATAGAGATTCGTTTTGCTTGCCTTAATTTTTTTTTCTTTTCTTTAAAAAGTGTGAACTCAGACAATGTTATGTGTGTAGGAAAAATTTTTATATGATATTAAAGAACAAAACGAAAATCTATAGATATAAATGTCTAATATTGTATTAAGGGCAAATCGAGCATCATGGCAAATCGAGCCGAGGCAAATACATCTTTCAGCACATACATCAAAAGCAGTGCTTGATTTGCTTACATTTTGGGGAAAACTTATCTCATTTTATAGGAAAGAATAAGTTATCTTCTACTCAAACAAAAATGTGAGGTCACTATTTTTTTTATAAAATAAAAAAAAAAGAATTTGACACAAAACTCGATGTTAGTGCAGGAAGTGCTTCTTCTCAGCTGTGAAATAAGACAATCATTGCCCTTACATTTTTTGTTTTTTTCGTTAAGTGGGAACCACAAAATTTTGTCTCACCAGCATGATATGAAATCTTTCTTGTAACATGAGGCTCCATTTCCAGTTGTATTAATGTAGTAAAATAATTGGACTAGACGTAAGTTATCTTGCAACGATATTGATATGGAATTGATAGGAGAAACCTATCCTAACACAGTTGAGGAAGAAAACAGAGAAGAGAGATAGAGAATTCAAGAAGAAGGAGATGAGAAAAAAGACAGTTTATTTCAATGACAAAATTCATACCCATTACGGTTACAAGCGATCCTATTTATACATGTTCTGTTCCTGACCCAATGTGGGTCACTCTAACTACTCAACTAACAAACACTAATATGACTACTTTGCCCATACCAATTACACTTCGTCTCACATGAACCTTTTGGGTTTTCTTATCACCCTTCTTGTTCTTCCTTCGGCAATGCTGTCAGTTACTACATGATTGTCCTCCCTCTCACTTTGATGTATTTTATTCGTATCAATACCCACCCCATTAAAACTAACCTTGTCCTCAAGGTTAAAATGTGGATATTGTCTTCTAAATTCTTGTAATTCTTCCCATGTTGCTACCTCATGTGGCATCCCACTCCATAGCACTTTAATCTCTATCTGCTGCTGATCTTCCACTGCGATGATTCTACTGTCTGTAATGTCCTGGGGTTCTAAAACTGGCATACCATTAGTGAACACGTCTGGCAAGGGTAGTGGAGATATAGAGTTGTCTCCTTTGGATGGTTTGAGAAGAGAAACATGAAAGGTATTGTGTATCTTTGCATTAGGTGGTAACTCAAGCTTATAAGCAACCTGACCAACTTTTTTTGCTATTGGAAATGGCCCGAAGTATCTTCTGCATAATTTGTTGCTCATTCTTTCTGCCA